TGTTGAATGTTTATCGCTCGAACTGGAGGCTTACGAATAGTAATGCGTTCTTCTTTGAATGTTCGTAGCATGGTAGATAGCTCGAGAATGACAAGTTGGTGGTCAGATACGTCGCATGGTTGAACGGAGCATGTGATGGAATTGACATTGTTTCCACGCGGCTGTGAGTTTGGCAACTGAGCAAGCAGGTTAGGTACTAATGCGAGATCAATGGTGGAGTTGCTCGGCAGCCTCGTGGGGGCGAGTACCACGTTTCGTAAACTGTTATCGCTGCAGAAGGTTTGGAGGTGGGTGTAGTGTGGGTGATTGTGGTTCTGAACATTGACATTGAAATCACCAATGACTATCGTGTGCGATTTTGCTGCTGTGGATCCTGAGATGTTGTCCACTGTATCAGTCAGTTTCTGCCAGAATATGACAGGCGTGGACGGCGATCTGTATGCAGCAATAATGTTTAGTGTGATTTCTTGAAGACGTACATGTATCGACACTGCTTCTATATCGTTCGTGATCCCTATTCGATTGTGCTGCAGTCCATCACGGACATAGATGCATACTCCTCCCCCAGTCTTGTCTTGTCGGTCTCGCCGATAAATGCTATAGCCACGGAGGTGTACGGAGTTGTTAGGCACAGTGTTGGTCAACCAAGTCTCCGTTATGGCTAGAATATCTACTTTATGGTGATGCATTAGGTAATGAACTTCATTTAACTTGTGAAAAAGACTACATACATTGATATGAGCAATACTTAGCTTTGAGGTTATTATTGGCGTTGCTGGGGATGCCCGGGCTGAGTCCTATTGGGAAGTATTGAGCATACGGGCAATGTCCTCTGTGGATAGAGGTTTTCCGCTGTGCATGATAACATCCCGGGGCAGGTGGCACTGAACTCCCTTGTCCCTAAGAGCTCGGAGCTTAGGGACAAGTGCTCTCCGCCGTTGTTGCTCTTGCCGGGTCAGGTCATGCTGGATGTAGACTTTCTCACCGCGGTAAGTAGCTTTCGTTTTATGTTGCATGAGCTGAGACTTGGCTTGAGGCGTCAGGACAACATGTACAAGGCGAGCCGGTCTCACGCCAGTGTGCTGGCCTGTAGTACTGGCTGTAGCACTTGTGTTAGCTGTGCTGGCAGTGTCACGGCGCGGTTGCTGGCCTAGGCGGGTAGCAGACTTGATCTCACTCAGCGCTATGTTTGGCGCGAGGCTTCCAATTATGGCCGGGAGGTTCTCTGAGCTGCTCTCTGTCAGGCCGCGTACCACAACATTGTGAACCCTGCTGCACTTGTCGGTAGCTTCCGCCACAAGGTCACGGAGTGTCGCTTCTGGTGTGCCTTGTATGGGCGTATCCACCAGATTTTGGCAGGTGGCTGTGGCGACAGGATGGCGGGCAGTGATGGTGGCGAACGTCTCCTTTACCTCTGCAATGGCGGTCTTGGCGCCGTTCTCCACCCTCACCACATCGTCGGAACATTTGTCGACAGCTGTCCTGAGCCGACGATTCTCCGCTGACAGGCGGTTGATGTCAAGGCGCTGCTCGCTGACTGTCGTGTGAAGGTCATCAAATTTCTTCAGTAGGCCGGCCAAAGTGTCTTTTACAAGAGACTTCAGCTCGGTCCGGAGCTGCGCCTGGAAACTGTCCAGCATTACCTTCATCTGGCTCACGACTACTTGGCTGTCACGATCACTAGCACTGGGACTGTCGCTGGTTTGGTCCAGTGTAGCGCCCGACTTGCAGGCTGCCTTGCGTGTCCCTGACATGGGCCGGTCGACGCTCTCAGTGCTTGGGCACAGACTCTCGCTCGGGCTCTCAGGCTTTCGTTTGGTGGGCTTTGCCCTCGGCGTCGAGTCAGATGGTTCCCCGGAAATATCACTACTACATGAGCTGCGTGAAGAGCCACCCTTTTCACGGCCAGCGTTACTGGGGGTGGTTATCTTCCGGACAAACTTTTTCATTGCACACTCAACAAGGTTCCCTATTGCACGTAATACGTAATATCTACATGCGCTGCAGAAATAAAATGAACGGAACGTCGAACCGCTTTTGCAGATTCCATGAATCATAATTGTTCATGATGCAATGACATGCATGATGTACAGACTTTTTGTCAGTCATGTTTTTTATACCAAGGACATCGACAGAGGAGTCGTAGTAAAAGTAAAAGGGCTTTTACGACTCCCTGATCTGTCGTCACCTGGTCACCATGGTCACTGGTCGTGGACACTTGATGGAATCCAGTTGAATGACCGCGGCCGGCGCCCTCAGCGCGTACAGAACGTAGATCTACCACTGGCCACTGCACCAGCATAGTACACGGGTGTTTGCAGTGCATGAACTCTGGCCAGTCGTCCCCGTACGCAAAATGCGTACGCATTTGTATTTACCGTACATTTCCTCGTGTTTTGGGCGAATCTGAGCGGTACGACGCTGTCGAATTGGGCCTGAATTTGCCCTGAACCAGCCGCTATCGAAGTAAAATTAGGTGTTTTGAAGGCCACACGGGAACACTGCGGCCATGTCGTCTTTCCTGCGTCGTTTGTTTGAAAATCGGCGTGTTTTTGAGCTCGTAGTTCGTCTTCGTTGTGGAATGGCCGTGCGTACATTCTCCTTGGAATTACCAAAGTCTCACCCCCGTTTATTACATTACTAAGGCTATGATCGTTTGGTCGGATCCAGATCCAGATCCAAATCTCAGATCCGTCGGATCCTTCAGAATCAACCGAACACTTTTTTGCGGACCTTGGCTGTTGCCATGTTGACGAAGTAAAAAATGGCGCTGACAGGTCACCCAAAAAAGGCACAAGTCGTACTGATCGCCCGCGTCGTACGAAAAGTCAACAAAAGTCCACTAGACGTACGACAATGAGTATAAAAATGATTTTTACCCACCATATACGCACAAAGGTCACATTTGGATCCGATGGATCCAGTCAACCCTGCTCCCGGGGCAGGGTTGCTCGGATCCAAATCCGAAGGATCTGGATCCGGATTCGACCAATCGATCATTGCAGATCCAGTGGATCCGATGGATCTGGATCTGGATCCGACCAAACGATCACGGCCTAAGAGTTTTGCCGGCAGCCACGATAGTTTTTATCCCTGCTTCCATACGTCCTTTCATTGAACAGCCAAACGAAACTTTGTGGCGCGCCTTAGTTTTTTGTGGCGCGGGGGTCTCAAGTTTGTCACTTCGAGTTGTACACAACAATCACATCAACACCTCAAAGGACCAAAAAACCAAGTGAGCAAGTATTTCAACCTTGCGATTCTGCCAGGCCTACTCTGAAGATGGAGACTTCTACTCGGTAGCACATACTCGTATCAATAAGCTGGGAGGGAGAGCGTGGCGAGTAAAATGTTGGGATGAAAAGAGCCACATTCTCTCTCGGTAAAGGTCGTCGTTCCTGCACTGGCTACACACTTGCTCTACCCAGCTCTGCAGAAGGCTAGATTTTGCATGCACGTGCGAGATTCGCATCCGCCGCGCCCATAGGCAGAGTCGAAATTTTTGTACTCTCGGATTTGCCGCCATCTTGACGAGTGGCCACTGCGAAACACCCGTGAGTAGTACCGTAAAGTACCGCCAGAGCGCCCCACCATCTCGTCCTTTCGTGGTAGGCCTTGGCGGATAATGCCGGCAGAAAAATTGGCAGAATTCGGTACTTTTTCTGGTAGGTTTCATGCATGTTTGGTATGTGGATAAAGAAATGGAGCAGAATTCGAGGAATTGCACGCCATAAGGTTTGTATGGTTCTGCCAATTTCACTGCTTTTCGAGCAGAATCTGCCACCTTTTCGAGCATTATCCGCTAGGGCCTATTTCGTGGTCGTCTTGTGGAGGTGGTTCCTGTCTGTTGGTCATACGACACGGACCTTGTACACACATTGCAGTCAATCCGTATCCAGTTTACCTTCAAGCGGATGCGAGCTCCACATAAAAACATGCCAAGTGTGACCTTAGTACACGAAGGTTCTCACATCGTACAAGCTTAGTAGCATTCTCCCATACGATTGTCTTCCCTTGGCTGTAAAATCAAGGTGGGGCGCTCTCGCGAGACGGGGCGCTCTGGCGGTACTTTACGGTACAGTAAAACCTGTCAAGGCGACCACTCGGACAAGGCGACCCCTGCCCCAAAAGACCACTGCCACCAGGACCATGTACCAAGGCCAAGGGATGCTAGTTCCAGTCAAATGACCCTGGATAAGGAGACCATCTGGAGACCACAAATTTTGAATGTCCCTTGAGTGGTCGTCTTAGACAGGTTTCACTGTATCGTAAAGTACCGCCAGAGCGCCCCGTCTCGCGAGAGCGCCCCACCTTGATTTTACAGCCAGAGAAAGGAAAATCGTATGGCAGAGTGCAACGAAGTGTGTACGATGTGAGAATCTTAGTGTACTGTCACACTTGGCAGGTTTTTGTGTGGAGCAGGGAGTATTGTACTACTCCCTGGTGTGGAGCTTGTGTCCGCTTGAAGGTACGGATTGACTGCAAAACGTGCAAAATGTGTACAAGGTTCGTGTCGTATGACCTACAGACAGCAGACCACAATGCGACCACGAAAGGATGAGATGGTGGGGCGCTCTGGCGGTACTTTTCGGTACTACTACTACTAGTACTAGTAGTAGTACAGTAGTACTAGAAGTACTGCACTACTCAGGAGGTCACGAGACAATCATAAGACCCGGACTGGGCAGAGACCAGACAGTGAGTGGGCGCAGATCTACAAAGGCACTACACCCAGGCCTAACCTGGCCAGTAGTACTGTACACTACAGCCTACACCACTGTCACCAGGCTACAGTACAGGGTAGGTCAGAAGATGTTACCAACCATGAGTGGTCAACGATGCATGGCCGGTCAGCGCGCGCATGACACTACCCCCACTCTGCGGCTCAGGTCATCATGGTCATCACGTGAGGTTGTGCGCTCAGCAGATATATCTGGAGAAGCAGTTCTTTGCCGGCCACAGACCTATTTTGGAGCTACCCATTGCTGCATTTTCAGAGGTAGCAATAACAAGTGCAACGGCGTTTCGCAGCCGCCTCAAAACTAACTACGTGTCATGTAATCACTAGTACTTGGTGGGTGGTGCATATTCTCTCAACTAGATCGTACACATGAGGGTGGAGAGGACTATCTTTGATTTTCAACTCTGGTTTCGGAGGGTTGCATCAATATCATCGTTACGGTAGCGCGATATCGATATGGAGCGTTTGCTGGCATTTCTGCTCTTGCTCATCGCCGTGAGCAGAACAGGAGCTGACCAGAAGTCGTTTGATTGCAAAATGAGGCAGCTAGCTATCGACTATGCCAGGAAATTGCAACCCGATCGCTCCAAAATGCACTTCCAGCAAATAGCAGATGCTCTGAACGGTGCTCAAGAGGCACAGGATTGCAACGTTAGTGTTGAGCACATTCCCGACGATCATCCCGATAGACCGAAGTTCCCCGTCTTCGAGCTACCCAAGGCAGGAAAGATGCTGTATGTGGATGCGAGCAAAGGCAAAGACACCAATGCTGGAACGGAGTCACTGCCCCTGCAAACAATTGGACATGCTGTAGAAGTTGCACGTGGTTCAGGTGGTGCTACTATCATCTTGCGTGCGGGGACCTTCTACTTAGCAGAGGCAATCGTATTGGGAGCCGCTGACAGTAACCTAGTGTTTCAAAACTATAATGGAGAAGAGGTTTGGGTGAGTGGAGCTATGCCAGTCAATCCCAAGTGGAGTGCATTCAACACATCCGGTGCTAATGTTTATGTTGCCGACTTATCAGCCCTGAAATTGGACGAAGTTCTCGGCATGCGTGTCAACGGAATGCGTGCAATTCGTGCTCGCTATCCTAATGCCGACCCGGAGATGGGTTTCGGAAGTTCATTGAAAGCTAAGCATTGGCTCCCGCCCATTCACCCTCCAAAACCAGACAAGGACATCTTCCCTGCAGAGCCATTACGCAACACGACCCCAAGGATGTTTCAAAGATATGTCCTTGGTATCGGTGGTTCCTGCGATGGATTCACTCCTCCGGCGGGATACTGGTGCAGTAGTAATACTGCAGGAGGTGGTGGTGTGACATATCGCATTACTTCAGGAATGGTCGTTGACAAATCAGTTCTACCTCATATGCCATATAAGGATGGTAGCACAGCGATCATCCAAGCCTGGCGTCCTGGTCACTGGGCAAGCTGGATGTTTGATGTGTCAAAGTATGATGCGGGAAGCGGTACATTCACTTTCGGGAAAGGTGGCTTCCAGGGTGCTAGAGGCAACGACAACGGAGATGAATTCTACATTGAGAATGTAATGGAGGAGTTAGACAGCCCCAATGAATGGTTCTATGATGCCAAGACTGCAAAGATGTATTTCTGGTACAATGGCACAGGTATGCCTCCAGCCTCAACGGTGTATGAAATCCCTCATATCAAAGTACTTATCAATGCTACCGGCACTCAGAAAGCTGCAGTGAAAGGCATTCAGTTCAAGGGTATCAACTTCCGTGACACAGCGTACACGTATCTTGATCCTCATGGCATGCCAAGCGGAGGAGACTGGGGTCTACAGCGCACTGCAGCTCTGTTCTTCGAAGGCACCGAGCAGGTGGTGGTCGACTCTTGCCTGTTTTCTCGTCTTGACGGCAACGCACTGATGCTGTCTGGCTACAATCGTGAAGCAGTTATTGAAAACAATGAGTTTGTATGGATCGGTGATTCAGCCATTGCACAGTGGGGCTACACGAGTGGTACAGAGGTGTATGGATTTGGCTGGGATGGCACTGACGGTAATCAACCTCGTGGAACTCAGATCATTGGTAACTTTGTCCACGAGCTGGGAATTTGGGAGAAGCAGTCATCGTTCTATTTCCAGGCCAAGTCATGTCAAAACCTTCTTGAGCGCAACATCTTCTTCAATGGCCCTCGAGCTGGCATCAACTTCAATGATGGATTTGGCGGTGGCTCGAACATCAGTGAAAACTTGCTCATGAACACGTGTAGGGAGTCAGGAGACCATGGGCCGTTCAACAGCTGGGACAGGCAGGTATGTAGATTGTTTTCTTCATCAATTCATTGGAATTATTGCCAAGACTTACTTGGTGTAGTTAACTTCTGTGATGTCTGCTTCAACTGCTACCAAGCCTTACTTACAATGAACAGTGTGTGGATGATGCCAGACTTTCACCCAGCTCATTGATGTTGCTGTATGTGTGCGTGTTTGTGTGTGTGTGTGTGTTTGCATGCGTGTGTGTTTGCATGCGTGTGTGTGTGTTTTTGCGTGTGTACGTGTGTCTGTGTGTGTATGTGTGTACGTGTGTGTGCACGCGTGCGTGTGTCATTTCCTTGCTAGGTGTTTGTGACGAAGGTCGGGGACGGGAAGACTGCCTCCGTGATTAAAGCGTACGACAACATCGAGCGCAACTTCATGATTGCCAATTACAACAGTCAAGAAGCAATCGATAATGACGATGGCTCCTGTTACTTCGAAACACATAACAACTTCTTTGCGTATTCCGGTAACGGAATGAAGAACGACTTTGATGGGCACGATAACCACCATCACGACAACATCTATGCATATGTTGGAAGTGGGTTCCGTATCTGTGCTCAGCTTGAAGGCCATAACGACATGTTCTATGGGAACACTGTTGTATTGAAGCAAGATGGCGACTATGGACGCGGCACCTGCTCCGGACCCGGAAAAACTGTTGTTCATGACAACAAGATTTACACGCCGACAGGCAAAGTCACAGAGTGCGGAAAACCACTGGCCGAGTGGCAGAAGGAGGGCAATGACAAAGGAACTACTGCCGCACCATATCCGCCAGATGAGACTCTGGTGAGCGCCATTTCCGAGCTCCTCGATATCAAGACGAATCTCCTGGACTAAGCCTTATCAGTATACTCCCTGTCATGATGCTAGAAACAAATACATGAATCTGGCTCTAGTATTTCAGCTTGGGGATATTGCCGGAAATTCAGTTTTTTGCTTCTCCGCTTTTGATTTCCCCAGTTCTATCCTTCAAGCGTTTTTGTTGTGAGTTGCAAAATGGTCCACCCATTTCTACGTTTTCAATCTTTTTTTAAACATACAAGTATCCTTTATCCATGTGCAATTTTAGTACATTGGTTCTTCCTAATATTTCCTGAAAGTGCAAATTTATCACTTATTTGGCATTTCATTGAGGCTGGCTTCACATGATCTGCTTGGAATTCTTTGCTTTACCAGTGTGTCGTCACTTTAGTCACCTGCTATCATTGTCCCATCACTGAAGTTCCCGTAACATTGTTGCCGTTTCGCGAACAAGCAGGTGAATGTCGGCATGGACTGATTTGTTTCATGCATCATGCAATGACCTTGGCCCTGCCATAATGTGCATGCACAGGTACTAGTCTTGAACTTCCAAGCTCAATTTAGTCTTACCTGGCAACCATTCAGATCGACTCAAATTGTTCAGGGGTTATTTGAGCCGGCGGTCAGTTTTTTTGTGCCTGTTCTCGGTGATGAGAGGATACATCACTGAGCTGATGTGTTGCGGCTGTGCTGACATGCCATACTGCAGGACACTGATGAGATTTAGACCGTTGAAAGAGGAACTACATGCAGCTGAGGATCACGGTATTGTCTTTATAGTAGTTTAAAAAGCACTGGAAGCCTCCAAGCTGTTCTGTTGGTTACCACTATCTATGAATGTGAACATTAAATTTGAACACTACTAGGGAAAATGACATCATTTTTTTGTGGTTAAATGGCAGTACTCATGTCATTATAATATTTCAGCACCACAAATACAGTGGAAGGAAATTAACATTTGCATGCAACTATCTCATTGCTACCAGTACTTCAAGTGACGTCACACTGAAGCAAATGGTCATGCTATGACTGGAGAAAGCCCTTCACTGTTCCCTGTCAAACTCAAAATAAAGAGAAGGAAGCCCAACTGCCTACATACTTGAACTCTGTGCCAACGCGTTTGACACTTCAAAAATAATAGAGGTGATTGCATTATTGACAGTTGTAGGAAACTATAAGTTGAGTGAAGAAGACTACAATGCATTTTAATGGTTAGCATTCAAAAGCTGAGCAGGACCCGGCTGCTGCAGAGCTGATCGCTAATGCATTATTATGATCGTACGAGTCAGCTAGCACCGGACATTGTGCAGCCAGTCCAGTGAACTCTGCGCTAGGCACTGGTGCTGGGCACAAGACATATTCACGAGATCAAATTTCAATACACATGAGTAAAGTATACTATAGGAAAGGGTTGCTCTCCACACTGGAGCTCGCGCTATTCCGCCGACTTGACTTGACTGACTCACGACTGGCATCCACACAGGAGAAGTCCATCGAACCGTCGACTCGGCAAACCTGCAAGAGTCCTCGACATATGCTCTCACCGTCCAGGAGCGACACTGACTCATGCTGCTATCTGCTGTTCACGAGGTGATTGTCGCGCTGGAAACGGAGCGTCTCTGTAGGTTAGTATCCCTGGTGATGTTTGTGCCTGGACAGCACTATACAAGTGGTGCTCTTCAGGCACAATCTTCCTCAGCCTACTCAAGCTCAACTGATGAGGGGCGAATTCCCCGAAACACTGTGTATTGAGCAGGGAGTGGTGCTTTCTTGCAGGTTTGCAGAGTCGAAGGTTCGATGGACTTCTCGTGTGCTCTGGATGCCAGTCGTGAGCCAGGCAAGTCAAGTCGGCGGAATAGCGCGAGCTCCAGTGTGGGGAGCAACCCTTTCCTAACAAATCATCGCTGAAGTTGCAGCCACTATTTCCTACTGTAGTATACTATAGGGAAAAAAAGTCGGTACGGCTTATACTATGATGGTCAAATACACATGATGAAATACAGTGTCGATGTCTGATTTCGTGACAAACACAATGTGGGTGCTGCTTATACGTAACTCCAGTGCGGCTTACACTCTGGAAAATACCGTATATGTGTACCTGTACTTCAAGTACAGTGTGTACTCACCAATGGCACATACATATATGATGTGCATACATATATGATGTGCATACATATATGATGTGCATACATATATGATGTGCATACATATATGATGTACATACATATATGATGTGCATACATATATGATGTACATGCATGCTGCATGAGATTACAGAGAGATGTCAATGCTCAACAAAGTCCTTACAGCATTGATGAACATGTCTTCACTGGCCGGATATGGGAAAGCCTGCGTTCCTGGATCGTTCCCTTGTTTCTGCCACTCCTTCAATGGCATCAAGCACTCGCTCACATTGCCAGTCGGACTAAAGATCTGATTATCATGCACAACTACTTTCCCAGGACCAAAGCACAGGCCAAAGCCATACGTGGTGTCCCCGTTTAGGATAACCGTATTGTTGTAGAACATGTCATTGTGACCTCCTAGCTGATCACTCACCAAGAATCCTATGTCAACATATGCATAGATATTGTGATGGTGATGATTGTCATGTCCTCCTATGTCGTTCTTCATCCCGTTCCCAGAGTACGCAAAGAAGTTGTGATGAGTCTCGTAATAGCATGAGCCGTCGTCATTGTCGATAGCTTCCTGGCTGTTGTAATTGGCAATCATGAAGTTGCGCTGGATCATGTCGTACGCCTTGATGTCAGTCGCTGTCTTTCCATCAGCAACTTTAGTTACAAACACCTGTGCAGGAAGAGCAAATCCATGCATGGCTTTCAGACATGTGGGTTGTGCGGTGCTAGGCCCCACAGGACAATGAAGTCGCCATCCCAAATAGAGTGTATTCTTGGTTTCCGATTATATGTTCATGTACTTGGTATGCGGAAAGTGCACAGTAGTTGACTGCCTCTGCTCGATACCCCGGATTAGACCTCAACTTACTCAGCATTCACAATGCCTGACCTAGTCAGCCAGGCGCGTAGGCGGGGGGGGGGGGGGGGGGGGGGGGGGGGTGCTTTGGGTGCCAAAGCACCCCCTTCAAAAATTTCGACCATGGGTCTGGCTTGGCATGCATTGTATGATCAAACAACCGCGACTGCCCTCAGCCCAGACTGGGTGCATGCTACGTAGATCTGCGAGTACTGCATTGTACTACACGTGCTTGCACTTTTCCGTTGCAGTCAGTGTGCAAGTATTAGTTACTCCATGAACAAAGTGGTCTCAAACTCCTAAAATGCGCTACTTGTGGCGCATGTTGCTGCGAAGGTAGCAGGTCTGAAAACACCGACAAAATCAGCGAAACGCTTGCCAAGGAAAGAAGGTGCGGAACTGCTTACCCTACCCCGCTGGAAGGTCGTTACAGTGTACTTGAAAAATGCTAACTTGCCTTCATCCACCTGGAGGCATGGATCGCTTGAAAACGAAGTTTCTTGACATGAATTTGAACGCGTGTCTGCTGAAGGGTCTGCCTCAAACTCTGATGAAGACGTCGACCTTAGCTGCAAGTGCAGCGAAGCGGGAGGCCACAAACTAAAGCTTGGTCCGTCGACAATGCTCTGCCTCAATTTCTAGCTGATTTCTTTGCCCCTCGAGTGGACAAAATAAATTCGAAAAATCTCTCTGGGAAGCAACAATTTTAATGACGCGGAGGAAGTAGATTGGTGGAATGGCAAGCTGGAGACATTCATAATACATAAATAATTCAAGGTGTACACCGCACTAGAATGCATACAATAATATTATGCATACATTTACAAGATTCCTCAAAAGAACGTTTTTGGAAGAAAATTATGGGCACCCCCTTGACCATGATCCTGGCTACGCCCCTGTCAGCATTCACTTGAAACACAGCATGCTGCAAGTGGTCTATCAGTTTGAAGTCGCAAACCCCTCCACAACTAAACCCTGGTTCTTGATGCAAACATGGAAAGGTCCAAGCACAGCAGACCCCTGCTTATCTGCCCCATTTTCGGACATGCCGGATCCGCAGTGAGATGCAGGGAAATGTGAATGCAGGTGGACAAGTGAAATTGATACTTTGCCAACTGCACTTTCATATTTCCAATTTCACTCCCACAGTTACATCAAAGTACATGGTCAAAGTCTGCACTGCAGCCGTTGTATGCACACAACAAATGGCCTTGGTGGTATCGGACCAGTGCTACGTGTGCAGCATCACTCACCACTCTAAAACTGCCAGTCATACCATAAAGTTGTCTATGTCAAGAAGGCATTGGAGCACTACTAAAATTACACATACCTGCCTGTCCCAGCTGTTGAACGGTCCATGGTCTCCTGACTCCCTACACGTGTTCATAAGCAAGTTTTCACTGATGTTCGAGCCACCGCCAAATCCATCATTGAAGTTGATGCCAGCTCGAGGGCCGTTGAAGAAGATGTTGCGCTCAAGAAGGTTTTGACATGACTTGGCCTGGAAATAGAACGATGACTGCTTCTCCCAGATGCCCAGCTCGTGGACAAAGTTACCAATGATCTGAGTTCCACGAGGTTGATTACCGTCAGTGCCATCCCAGCCAAATCCAGACACCTCTGTGCCACTCGTGTAGCCCCACTGTGCAATGGCTGAATCACCGATCCATACAAACTCATTGTTTTCAATAACTGCTTCACGATTGTAGCCAGACAGCATCAGTGCGTTGCCGTCAAGACGAGAAAACAGGCAAGAGTCGACCACCACCTGCTCGGTGCCTTCGAAGAACAGAGCTGCAGTGCGCTGTAGACCCCAGTCTCCTCCGCTTGGCATGCCATGAGGATCAAGATACGTGTACGCTGTGTCACGGAAGTTGATACCCTTGAACTGAATGCCTTTCACTGCAGCTTTCTGAGTGCCGGTAGCATTGAAAAGTACTTTGATATGAGGGATTTCATACACCGTTGAGGCTGGAGGCATACCTGTGCCATTGTACCAGAAATACATCTTTGCAGTCTTGGCATCATAGAACCATTCATTGGGGCTGTCTAACTCCTCCATTACATTCTCAATGTAGAATTCATCTCCGTTGTCGTTGCCTCTAGCACCCTGGAAGCCACCTTTCCCGAAAGTGAATGTACCGCTTTCCGCATCATACTTTGACACATCAAACATCCAGCTTGCCCAGTGACCAGGACGCCAGGCTTGGATGATCGCTGTGCTACCATCCCTATATGGCATATGAGGTAGAACTGATGCATTGGCAACCATTCCTGAAGGTATGACGTAAGTTGCTGCACCACCACCCTCGGTGTGATTACCGCACCAATAGCCCGCTGGGGGACTGAAGCCTGCGCACACACCACCTAATCCTAGCTGATATCTTTGGAAGGCGCTGTGTGTTGTGTTTCGCACTGGTCTGTCTGGATGGATTTCCTTTTCTGGCTCGGTTGACACTGGCGGTAGCCAGTGATTGGCTTGAAGGCTGCTTCCAAAACCCATCTCCGGGTCGGCATTAGGATAGCGAGCACGAATTGCGCGCATTCCGTTCACATGCATGCCGAGAACTTCGTCCAATTTCAGGGCTGATAAGTCGGCAACATAAACATTAGCACCAGACGTATTGAATGCACTCCACTTGGGATTGACTGGCATAGCTCCACTCACCCAAACCTCTTCTCCATTATAGTTTTGAAACACAAGGCTACTGTCCGCGGCTCCCAATACGATTGCCTCTGCTAAGTAGAAGGTCCCCGCACGCAAGATGATAGTAGCACCGCCTGAACCACGTGCAACTTCTACAGCATGTCCAATTGTTTGCAGGGGCAGTGACTCCGTTCCAGCATTGGTGTCTTTGCCTTTGCTCGCATCCACATACAGCATCTTTCCTGCCTTGGGTAGCTCGAAGACGGGGAACTTCGGTCTATCGGGATGATCGTCGGGAATGTGCTCAACACTAACGTTGCAATCCTGTGCCTCTTGAGCACCGTTCAGAGCATCGGCTATTTGCTGGAAGTGCAACTTGGAGCGATCGGGTTGCAATATCCTGGCATAGTCGATGGCTAGCTGCCGCATCTTGCAATCGAAATCTTTTCTATTCGCAGAGCATGGTCGATAAACAAAACCTGATTGGATTGCTGAAAAGAAAGCAATAGCGAGCACTAAGTGGTAAAGCGCAGCCATTACCCCTTCGCTTTGTTGGCTCGAAACGTTACAATCCTTTCTATGTTTGGAATGAATGACTGGAAGAAGAGGTTTGTGGCGCAGATCTTCATGATCAATGCCATGGGGAGTCACACACACGCAGTGCTGCCAAATAATTTTCGCCCAAAATCGGACACCCTGCACCATGTTCACCGCCAAGGCTGGCCACATGGTGCGAATTTTTCTCCTCAGCAAACTTTTTTCCAAAGAATTCAAAATAACACCCAAAATACCATGAAAATTCGCTCCGTTGCCATGGTAACCGATATGGCACCCCCGAACAAGAGTACAATGTCATGTACCGGTACATGAAAACTGTTTTCATGTACGAGTCGCGTACTCTTGCCCCGAAGTTGTCATGAATTTTGTATTGCATGAGTAAGCGCTAGCCTTTTTACTGTACAGGTACTGTGATTTGTGCCTTCAGTTGCGCTGAAAGTGAAAATACAGGACTTCTGCATAGGAAAGTACTACGATATCGCCTTTTATATACACTGTCAGTCTACTGGAGAACTTCAGCACAAGTTGACAAGTGAGCTGAACAGACTAAATACGTACATGTACCTTGGAAGCATTGGTCTCATCTTGAATGCCCAGAAAACGAAGTAGTTCATGGTGCTTCGGAAGAAGGCTCTGCCTCTTCCGCCGGATCTTACCATTGCATGCAGTGGTGTCGATATTCGACCTTCTGCCACAGCGCGTTATCTTGGCCTCATTATTGACCAACACCTCACCTTTGAGGATCAAGTCAACCATGTACGTACATCTGTTTATAAGAAGATAGGAGCATTCCGCCGCTGCCGCGGCCCGCCGTACAGTAGACCACACAACTAAGCGAATATTTTATTTATCCCTCATCCAATCCACTATTGAATACGCCAGCAACTCGTATGCTCACTGTCTTACACCATCTTTATACTCTCGCCTTGTTACTTTAAGTCATATCAGCATGAACAAGGTTTTTGGTCTCCCTCGCCGTACCCCGACTGTCTTTGTTTTGCGGCACGCTAAGTTATACTCCCTCGAATCTCGTCTCAACTTGAGGCTTTTTATTTTTGTTTTCCGCTGTATTCATCAGCTTACAAGTCCTCTTCTTTCCTCAATGTTCACCCTCCAGTCGGCTGCTACTTGCACCGAGAGGCGCACTAGAGGGCAATCATTCTCTTCACTTTCTTTGCCTGCTGCTACCACTAGATATGGCATGTTCTCTATTTCTTTCCTTGGCGCTGATAGGTGGAATTCTCTGCCTGTCTCGTGTCGTCAGGTTGAGCATCTATCCGTTTTTGTTTCACTCTGTAAAGAGCACTTAGGGTTCCCTGTAACAAGACGGCAACGTCTGTACTCTGTAGGGCCTTCCCTATCAAAATAATAAGTCTACTACTACTACTACTACTACTACTACTACTACATGTAATTCCCTAACCGTTTTGGCTGCTTTTCGGACGTTTCCTTTTTCGGACCGGTTTTCGGAAGAGCCTTCAAAAATCGGACACTGTCCGAAAAATTGGACGGTTTGGCAGCACTGGGAGTGGGAAAAGCAGGTACAGTAGTCGTAGTACACTGTCTACACTACACAGTGTCACTGTCACGTGTCAGTCCTAGATCTACTGCCATGACTACTGACTGTGTAGTTTCACGTGCACTGTGTGTGAGCATGATTGTGGAACCGGATATCCGTCATGTACATGTAGATCTACATCACTCATCAGTGGCTGCGTTCGATTATGCCCGCGAATCGATTCGCACTATTCACATCACACCATGTGAATGCGAATCGATTCCAGGGCTCATGACATGAAAATCGAACGACTTGAATGCATGCGAATGGATTCATGAATCGATTCAAGTGCATACTACTCAGTAAGTAATCGAACTACATTTATTTCTGCACCTCGTGGCATGTCCAACCACGGAAGAAGAGAAAAAAGAAGATGAAGAGCACGTACACAAAGTGGGAGGGGATTAGCAACTTACAAAGCAATGGGATGCTCAGCGAGCTACATTGTATGCAGCGGAAGTGGTGATTGTGATTTTGTTTACTGGGAGATACTGAAGAGCTGTCTGATGAGGGTACGGAATTTGGGCATATCTGGAGCTTGTCTAACACTGGGAGGCAGTTGGAGCCACGTGGAGTAGGAGGAAAAGAAAGGGGAATTTACGAATAGGGTAGACCTAGCTAGGGGGAGACGAACGCAGCGTCGGGTGGTGCTGTAAATGAGCAGGGTGCTGGTCAAGAAAAATTGAATGTGCCAGGGTGCACTTGGAAGCATCAAGGTAGTGCTGCGTGGTAGTGGATGCAGCAGCACACATTGTACATGTAAATGTAAGTGTACAGTCATGTCCCCTCATGATGTAGGCGGGCTGTTCGCAACATGACACATGATGAATCATGATGGCCAACAAGAGGATGAAAAGGTTTCACGCACTAACAGCTATTTTAAAGCGATCATCAGAAAACAGTAATGAGAAACTAAGTTACTTTGATGGCTGGGGTGGCAGCCTGCAGGGGTAGTTCCAGGAATATGATGTTAGCGCAGAATATAAAAATCATGCATCGCAGCATCAAATACACTGGTGTGCTTGGCAAGACGGATTCTTCTTGAGAGTTGCAGAGCAAATAGAAGGAATCAGTTTCAAACAAGCACAAAGGCATGCAAGTACAATCATGCACATGTAGGTATACTACTACTACTACTACTAGTACTGCCACTGGACCAGTGCTCATGTTGGCCACATACTGCTGGCCACACCCAGGTGAGACCCAGTCACCCAGCACACCGCCGTGGGCTGGAACCCATACCTCCACCATTTCACTTTCATGCACACTGTCTGCTATAGTGGCGTGCTAGCTGTGCTTTGTGTACTTCAAAGTACTTTGGGGCGGAGGGAGCGGGGCGGAGGGAGTGGGGGGGGGGGGGGGCAGAGAAGGGGGAAGGAGTGGGGAGTGGGCAGAACGTTAGTGTATGTGATGCAGCAGAGTGCCTACTGCTTGTAGAACTGGTAGAAAAGGCAGGTAATGAGCACTACAAGGGCAAGCATAATCACAATCCCGTCGTTGCTGGTATCACCAGCAGCTGCATCTTTGCCTGTGCTGCTCTCCTTCTTGCTTGGCTTGTCTCCGCTAGCACCGGGTATGTCTATACCATCGTCATCTCCAAACACCGCCTCTTCCAGCTGCTTGCCCACGTCAAAACCCCGTTCCTTGAGCCTCTCGATTTGCAATGTTCTTGCCTTGCTCTTCTCGAGTAAGAATGATTTGTCAACACTCTCGCTTACGCCCAGGGCCTGCACTGCCTTCCGAATCTCCTCGATGGGACGATGGTTAGTCTTGCAGAATGTAGCGAAACATTCACAGTTCCATTTCTCCAGATTGTATGCACCAAATGGTTGGTCAGATAGCTGGCAATCCAGGAAGACTTTGGCAATTTCTGCGGCATGCTTTGCGTTCACCATATGATCGGGGTTGCATCCTTCTAAGTAAACCTCGTCACCTTCGGCCTTCGTGTCATACGTGTACAGGTAAACTCGACCCTTGTGCACGAATGAAGAGATCTCCTCCTGCTTGATCTCAGCGCTGTAAAGGACATTGGCAGCGGCTGTCGCTAGTTTGATCACAGCTGTTCGCACCAACTTTCCTACATGCTTGAAGGATTCGGTCGCTGCCTCATCCACCTTGGTCCCAAATCCAATGACCACCTTGTTGCCATTCACTTCTGCCACAATCCCTACAGACCAGGGAAGAAGAAGTACGTTACACATACTAGGTGGGTGATGTTGAAGTGCGTGTGTTTTAAAAGGTTTTTTAAACATAGTTTGTGTGTGTGTGTGTGTGTGTTTGTGTGTACATGTATGTGTGTGTGTGTGTGTGCGCGCGTGCGCACGTGTGTGTGTGTGTGTGTGTGTGTGTGCACGTGCCAGCTAGGTCAGTTCGTAGGTACGCCTGTGTCAGATAGTGTCGGGTATATTGCTACAGGCTCGGCTGCTTGAGGTATATTGTTATTATTTTTTACTTATACATGTACCATTTGAAACTCGGGTATTGAGCCAATAATAAAAGTAGAAAGGAAAAGGACATATGGAAACGAGTTAAGAGTAACTCTCCACCACTGTAACTAGATACTATATACAGTCAGAAAGTGCAACAACTAGGCACAAAACTGACAGAGTACTGAGACATTCGACGTCCTGACACCTAGCTTCAACACATCTCCGTAGCGCTAACCGACAGCCTTCCAACTTGGAAGGTTCAAGGTTATGGAAAGACCAAATAGGGGAAGGCAAGCGCAACGAAAACGAGCACAAGCTACAGTCCCAACGGAACAAAGAATGTCGATTGTCACTGGACGATGACGAGACCAGTAGGCGATTTGACAAAGCGGTCTAACTACAATTCGAAGCAGCAAAGCAGCACACCACCCAACTTGGGTGGGTCAAAAATATCAAAGATAAGTTAAGAAGGGGGAAGCTTTGCGAGAACGAATTGTACAAGCCGAAATCTAAACTCCTACAGTACTCCTCATGCATGACATTGTGATGGACTAGTTGACTACAAAACAAGTTGTTAACTCTTTTCCATATGTCCTTTTCCTTTCTACTTTTATTATTGGCTCAATACCCGAGTTTCAAATTGCACACCTGATGAGCCGTCACGAACCATACGGCGAAACGTACGTCGTGTGAAACAACTTGTTTTGTAGTCAACTAGTCCATCACAATGTCATGCATGAGGAGTACTGTAGGAGTTTAGATTTCGGCTTGTACAATTCGTTCTCGCAAAGCTTCCCCCTTCTTAACTTATCTTTGATATTTTTGACCCACCCAAGTTGGGTGGTGTGCTGCTTTGCTGCTTCGAATTGTAGTTAGACCGCTTTGTCAAATCGCCTACTGGTCTCGTCATCGTCCAGTGACAATCGACATTCTTTGTTCCGTTGGGACTGTAGCTTGTGCTCGTTTTCGTTGCGCTTGCCTTCCCCTATTTGGTCTTTCCATAACCTTGAACCTTCCAAGTTGGAAGGCTGTCGGTTAGCGCTACGGAGATGTGTTGAAGCTAGGTGTCAGGACGTCGAATGTCTCAGTACTCTGTCAGTTTTGTGCCTAGTTGTTGCACTTTCTGACTGTATATAGTATCTAGTTACAGTGGTGGAGAGTTACTCTTAACTCGTTTCCATATGTCCTTTTCCTTTCTACTTATACATGTACCCTCCACCTTTATTGGTTTCATTCAGGTTTCATATTTTCACAAGAGAGAGTTTGGATATTTTCTATATGAACACCAGTACCTGTTGACCAATGAACTGCCGGCACATCTGGCCAGACCCTCGGTTAATCCGCACCGATACCAGTAATAAAGGAGAATCTGTCTTTCTGTTTCTCATCATCAGTTCTATACTATGGCCATGAAACTCCGAGATGCAAAACAACTTGGAAAGTTGGAGTTGTCTTTCGCCTTCTACGTTGTACATGTACATGCATGTGTGATTATTATACGACTATTCATTGTTCACAGCTGAAATGCTGTGTGCCTGTGTAGTGAGGACTTACCATGATGACAATAGATGTATGTCTCTGGAGCACCAAACACCCTCAGTGATCTTGGTACGTAGACATGGTCACCAATCTCCAAATTCTCCGGTTTCGTGAAATTGGACATGTCTAGCAGGGTGGCGTCGGCAGCCTCGGAGCCAGTGGGAGGCAACCGCACACAGAGGAGTCCTCTTTAGCGTAAGGTGCTGCAGAGGAGATCGCTCACGATACGACTCTGTTGCTTGCGGCCTTTTACAACTGAGGAATGATTCTGTCTGTTGCAAAAGTCTTGCTCGAGATCTGCTAGCACCGCTTATGTTCACTGTGTCAGCAGCAGTCTTTTTAAAAAGTACTACCCCGTGCTTTGATGAGTGTCTATAGTTCCACCTGCTGGAAGCTGCATGTCCAGTCAGTAATAATCGCCTCTGGTCTCAGGAAACAAACAACATCACGTTCAGAGTATACAGCCTTCCCGGTCGCACCCAGCCGGATATGAAGGCTGGACTAGATAATAGTTAGCCCTTGACGGATACTAGTAATGCTGGCAGAAATCGGTAGAAGTTAGTTGTTTATTTTACTCTTCTCTTTTGTTTTGTGTGTGCGTGGGGGGGGGGGGGGGGTTCCTGCGCGTTTGTATAAGGAAGAGGAGCAGACTTTGCCGTTTTCTTGGCATAAGCTTTGTATGGTTCTGGCAATTTCAATGCTTTTCGAGCAGAATCTGCCAACTTCACGAGCATCACCAATGCCTAGAACTACGAGTCGCACCTTGTAGTACATAGTACATTGTAGATACATGCCATGTACCGGTACTAGTTAGCATGCCACATGTGTGCATTAGCTAAGTTCAGGCTGCTCGTGTAGATTGTAATAATACGCTCGTAAATGTTCACCCAGAGGCTATGGCATAGCATAGGCTCTCGAGTTGTACAAACGTTGCGCTATGCATCCAGTAACGCAGCCACGGGTGCTGCACTATCCAGATGTGTGGCAACATGTCTCAACCGCAAAAGAACAATGAGCAGAGGCTAAGGTTTGCTATCGTTTTGCATTGCTGCTGGCCATTCTGGGATAAGACTGATGGTCAGAGATAGATGCTGCAAGTGTTTAGTTACATCAAGAGTACTCTTGGTTGCATGAAAAGTGGCACGTGAAAGCCGAATACGACTACATGCATGCATAACGAAACCTAGTTATCATGGACATTGTCACAATGTGTGCTTTGGTTCGCGTTGCCACACTGCGGCCAATTTCTCCAACAAACGTCTCGGAACATGTGAATGTCAGACGGTACACCACGTTGCATCTTGTGCACTCTACCTCGCTCGACTGGCATGCAATACAGGCAGCTCTAGGCCTTCCTCGTCTCCTTAGCGCAGAGGAATCCACTCACTTACGGCAGAGTGGTCCACCATCACCAAGTCCAGCCTCACTGAACCACGCTGCCGTACATGTACAGTGCTAGCTGGCAACTGAAATCCGTCGCCCAGGGGGTCGGATTTCAGTTGCCAGCACTGTACGTAGCTGCATACTACAAGTACTTGTAGTATGCAGCTGTGCTGATAGTACTATACTACTAACAGCAAGAGTATCTGGGAGGGGTACTCTTGACTGACCAGCATCGAGTCGGAATGTTGGAAAATTTGGGCATGAACCTGGGACAGTCTCTCCTTTGGGGGGGGGTCACTTTGATGCAACCCAATTATGTATTAGCACAGCATTCAAGCTTTATGCATAAGCCTTTGGCTGTTCAGCCCTCATGAATCAGCTGACCTAATTATGTATGCACCCATACCCTTCCCCATCACACATTGCCATCTCAGTGAATAATTCGTCTCCAACGACGTCATTATTCGTGAGCCATTCACCCACAGGAACACACACGGCCAAAGCCAAAATGGAATAATGTCTGTCAGGACCACCCAGCTGCCAGCTTGTAGTCATATGTAGACTAGCCGCTGACCATTCTTGTTTCCAGATCCATCGGTGATCCTGAAAGACTTATCCCTGAAATGAAGGCAGCAACAACATGCATGCACAGCTACTCTGCCAATACAACAATCCTATTGGAAAAGAAAGAGCCAGCAATATACAGAAACATGTAGAACCCATCCCCTCCCAGGGTGACAGGTGTTCTGTTCAAGCCCACATCCTCGACCAAAATAATAACTCCCAGGACGGGGATTGCTGGCGATGGCAGGCTTGGGTGGCTCCTTGACTTGGCCATGATCCGATGTGCAAGACCATACCAAAGGGTATGGTGAGCAGCATCGACATTTCTTGGAGGCTGAAATGCTGATAGCTTCCTATGAGCATAGGCGAATGAAGAAAACAGAACAAAAGCGAGGCGCAAGGTAGGAACAAAAAGTACATTCTGGGGATGGTTCAGTTTCCCACCCAAACACTATAATGTATGTCCGACAGAAAAGACTCAACTGTCAAGCTAACTACGGAGAGCTACAATTCAAACGGAAGCATGCAGTTGTGCATCGAGCACTCTGACCAGTAGTCAAGGTTCTTCCGTGACAGCTACAATTCTCAGACTCTGGACTGTCACCCCAAGGTAGGACATTATACGTGATTGTGAAGCTAACTACAGAGATCTATAATTCTCAGAACCCGAGACGCTGACCAAAGGTAGAATGTTAGCATGCGTGTAGAGACATTGCATGTGAAACCAAGGCTCAAGGGGCTTAAACTCACTGCAATTACTGCTATGCTACAATAAATCTTTACAGAGAATGGCACATGGTTTACCTTGCTCAGCTCCGGCGACACCATGAAGTCCTCCGTCTACGACGCTTGACCTGGGCTGGGGAGAAGAAAAACACAGGAGATAGAAAACCGATGAACCTGTACTACAATATCAGTACCCTAACTACCCACCCACGGGGATTGTCAAAGCATGCAGACAACACCACTGAGTAATAAAGACTATGCATGTGGGAGCAGGCAGGGTTACATGCAAAATGCTACTACCCAGGGTGGATGAAAACAGTCCAGCATTCATTGCTGTTCAACCCAACTCCCTGTATGCAGAGGCCTACTGGGGATGGGGTTGGGATAGAAAACCATGCAGAACGCCAACTACACTCATAACAGACCAGTGCAAAAAGTTATGGCTGAAGATCCAATGAGTTGGAAGGTAATGAAGTTCAGGTTGAGCAAACTTGCTTTTGTCTGGGAGAAAATGAAACGGAGAAGACCTGTTGCACTGGTCTAACATGCACAGCAAAGAGATACTTAGAATGTTTGTTACGACGGTGATGTCCGTAGCGCTCGTTGTCCATCTTGACGCTGGGCTTGACAGACTACAGGGAGGCATAAGAGCAAACAAATCATTTTAGACAGCAGCCCAAATAATGCAAATAATACAAGCAATAATGAATAGAATGAATGCAAAGTATTCAATTAAGCACCCACATCACAGTTCCGCAAACACTTCCAAAGGGAAAAAGAAAAAAGACCGAATTCTGTTTCAGAAGGCATAAAAATGTCCTTTTCAAGCAAATTGTCTGCAAGCGTCATGAAAGCACAACTGGAATGATTATTGTATGATAAAATCTTCACATGTAGCTGCTCCAGAGCTAGTGATATCTTCTCAGAAGAGGAAAACGTCAAGGAGGTGGAAGTGTTTGCGGAAAAGGAATACACTAGGCCACTCCCCTCCTCAGCCAATTTCAAATTGGGTGCTGTCGCAAAGGAGAAGATCTTTGGATAACCTCATCAGCAGTTTGTGCAGAAACTTGTAGATATGTATAGGTAGAAATGAGCTGCAGTCCCTGTAATGGTCTCAAATTTGCAAGGTAGCCGCGGAAGCAAACTTGATGGCTTTGGGTTACAGATTAGTCTGGATGCTTTCTGCAGCTTCACGCCTATAGAAAAGAAGATAATGGGCTACTAGCCACAACTATTTAAAAAAACCCTCATGCAATGACATTCAAAGAAATTCTGTGTGTTTATACATTGAATATATTTGGTCTATAACCGTCAATAGATGCGAGTTTTAGTGTTTTCATGCAAAATGGCTGAGGAGAGGTAGTTGACCCAGGCGTAAGTTCCAAACTGTCATGGCTGCCAGTCTAGTAAACAAAACATCACGGAAATACTTATGGTTTTTGTCACCAGTCCTGTGGCGATGTGGTATTGACGCAGTCCTGCAGCAACACAAACAAAAGGCACACATTCCGGTCAGGCTCTCATCGTATGCAGTTGTGCACGTTTAAATGAAATTTTCGCACATTAGGAATACAGTGTCGTCACACCTCAGACCTTAGGGGGGGGGGGGGGGGGGGTGGAGGGAGGGAGGGGTGCACACTCCAGGGATCGATTTACTTTGATTTTTTTGCATAGCAGTCACTGCTACACAGTTTTACAATTGACTAGCAACTCCAAGTATTGATTAGCAGTTTTCCTTCATCAAAAGTTTACATGTATAGCTGTACAATAGCAGGATTTCGTACAGAAGAGGACATTAAGGACGTTTAGCAGCGCGAAAGTTCGAAAGAAAATTCGAGTCTGGGAATGAGTACAGGAAAAAAGCTTGAAACTTCGAAAACTTGGACGCGAAGTTGCAGTGATTTGCGAAAGTAACTTTCTCTTTTCTCGGTACGCATTTGACTACAGGGAGTAGTAATTTTACAGTCAGGGCTCACCACGACCATACAAAGCGTCAATAACGGTCATTTGGATTTGACCAATCAGCGCACGGCAAAACGGGCTGTTTCTTGCAATTGTGGGGTGTTTTCTGAGTGGAGCTTGGCTGTATTCGTTGGTTTTAGACATTAGGCCATTGTGGATTCGTGTTCAGAAGGTGTGTTTTTGGAGGGTTACCGTCTCGAATTTTTCGATTTGGCCTTCGTTTGGTTGAGATCGGATGGTGAAATCACTCAAACGCGAAGGCGTGCGAACAAGTGAATGAAGAGAAAATTAAAAATCGGGGACGGTAAACCGATAGAGAATTCCAAGACCTTGAAAATGAGCTATCGATGGTGAGAATCGGCCAAGGAGAACCGCTGTTCTACTTTTTTGAAGACATCAAGGTCGGCCGTGCGTCGCCGCGCGCACCAACAAAAACTGGCAGCCGTGCGCATATCGGCAAGTGCAACAAGAAAGGACGGAGGAGACAGAAAGCGTTCCAAGTGAAGAGTTTACCTTCGTGTTGACTCAAGCTAAGGACTCATGCCAGTCAGGGATCATACCAGTCACCTCTCATCATGGTCATGACTAAGGGATTCATTTGTGGCCAGGAAACTTCCCACTCGCAGCGTGAAAGCTGCGAGGCCAAACAGAAAAGAGTGTGCCGAGTCGCGATCAGGAAACGCTGAGTTCTACTGACAACATTGGTTAGCTAGGCGCGGCAAATTCTTGTAGATGCCAGGACTCAAGTTCACCAGTACCTCACGGACATATCTTGGTCGACACCCACCAGCGGATTGAGAAATATGACCAAGATGGCTTGGAGAAAGGACGTCTTCTCCGCGTGTCTTTCCCGACATCAAACAACAAGATTCGCTTCGGCACTGGCCCTTCGCTGTACAGAGTAAGTCTGAGTAGACCAGGGAGTCGTAAAATACCGGTATTTTACGACTAGACTGTACATCGCTGTACATCGATGAGCATGAACTCAGGTGCGTAGCCGCTATGACTGCACAAACTCTGGCCTTGGCGGCATCGCCATGTTTTCAAAATGGTGGTCGACGCTTTTTGAATTTTGTATGGTCGTGGTGAGCCCTGACAGTCCCCTGCTTGAGACTGACCTGCATATACGGTACGGTACTATAAGATTCAAATAACTTCGAGAAAAAGTCATTTCGCATTGCTAAACCTCACAAGTTTTCTTTTTCGAAATAGATTTTCGCGAAATATCACCACCACCAAAAGTTCGAATTTTCGCATTGCTAAACGTCCTTAATAGCTGCAGTTGCTATTTGCTTTTCCAAGCGAATGTTCGACCTGAATATTTACGTTAGAGTTTTCGCTTGGGCACGTTACATGTTCAGCGTCCATCCGACTTCGAGTTCTTCACAACACAATGTCCTTCAACAGGGCAGTTCCACTGATTCCTTCGACAAAGAAACCTCAGGAAAGCACTCAAACGATCGTGACATTTCGTGCAAAGCGCATCGACTGATTTCGCTTTTCTCTTTTTCTTTATCGAAACGAATCGACATTCCTGGCGCGTCCAGTTCTTTGTCTCTCTTCTGGACAGTGAATCACTGATCAGATTCACTGACATGTTGGCTACATGAGACTAAGAACCGTCTACTTCAACTGTGCCTTGTCGAACAGAAACAAACTGAGCTTGAAAGTGAAAGAAGAAAGGAGAACATCAGGAAAAGTCACCGCCGTGTACAAAACTTCAGAAGACTGCAGTCGTGTACGACCAGTGCTAGTCCAGTGTCCAAAATCGAAAGAGCGCGACCCGCGCGCGGACTGAGCAGGAAAGGCCAGTTGGTTGCAGTGGCGGATCCAGGGGGGGGGGCCCAGGGGGCCTGGGCCCCCCCTTTGAAAATTTCGACCTTGGTCTAGGATTACAGTAGACTGTAGAATGAGCGCTCGAAATTACTTGGCGTGTCAAGTGGGTCACGCGTGCTGGGTACTTTTATACGTGTCTGATCACTCCGGTACATGGTGTCACGCACCGAGCATGAGTCTGTACTAGTCAGCGCGCTGTGTACCGGTGTACAACTACTGTACGCACTGCGACCTGAGGACACGGCCGCACTTCAAACATGTGAAAAACGTGCCAAAAATGCAGGGCCTGGTACATAGTGCAGCGATCGCGTTGGGCTGAAGTCCTGTTTGGTGCACGGTGCTGTCGACTTCGTCCTTCCTTTTTTCTTTTTCAATTGTCAGAAACTACAAGTATACGCTCTCTAGCTCTCTACTTCGCTTGTAGCCAACGGGTTACCTTCAGATATGAGATGAAGAGGAAAGGGTCTGACATCAGGTCGTTCTTCAGTGGACCGGTAGATAAGAGAGCTCGCGTTGGAGAGCCGTCCAAAGGTCCGTCGCGGCCGCTGTCGAGTGGAAATGTTCCAGTGCAGTTTGAAAATGTCGTGAGAATGGAATAAAACTAGAAACCGGCGGATTCTGCTCGAAAAGGTGGCATATTCTGCTCGAAAAGCAGTGAAATTGGCAGAATCATACAAACCTTATGGCGGGCAATTCCTCGAATTCTGCTCCATACTATAGTATTTTTATCCACATACCAAACATCCATAAAACTTACCAGAAAAAGTACCGAATTCTGTCAATTTTTCTGCCGGCAGAATCCGCCGGACCCTAAAAACAACTGCTCTTCACAGCTTCAGGACTTTGTTGTTGTTGTATTTGTTGTTTTGTTTTGGGGGGGGGGGGCGGATACCTTGGGCCCCCTCTTCGGCCAAGTCCTGGATCCGCCACTGGGTTGGAGTAGTAAAATACTACTCCCTAGTCAGCAGTGTGTACAACAGTCGCATGTAGACTGCACACAACTGGTCTTTGTAGTGCATCGCAGTTTTGGGCGATAAAAAACGAAAAGCGAATCGCAGCCAGTGAATTTTGATTCGCAAACTGCGATACGAACCCGGATAAATCGATCCCTGCACTCAGAGAATCGCAACCCGTGACAGCAGGCACGGACGACATGGTTCATATGGATGGCATTTCTATTTGGATTCTTTTGCGCCAAAAGTACCTGAAACTGACAAGCATGGTATGGAGAATCAGACATACCTGGCCCTCCTGCCGACTTGGTCGGACGTTGTTGTTCAATGGCAAGCATCTAGCCCCTGGGGTTGACGGGTCTGGACCTGTAGAGATGAAAACAGTCAAGAATACCGGGTATGAGAGTGCTGCCCAGCAAGTGCTCAGATGCCCTATGCTATTATCGGCCAACGTATAATTGGCTGAAAATTTGTTCTGGCCGAAATCCGGGCCGAAAATTTGTTGATTTACACAGCGGCGGATCCAGCGATCTCTACAGGGGGTTCCAGTACAGTCAAAACTGAATAGCTGATACATGTACATGGACACGCATATGGTTGCCAGTAGTACATTTACGAAATATAGGGGTTCCGCGGAACCCCTGGAACCCCTCCTGGATCCGCTGTCACAGTATTCATCACTGATGCACAAGTGCACTGGAACTACTTACGGTAGAGGAAGCATGGTCATCTTTCATTGATGCCACATCTTTCCCCCAGGACAGTCCCAATCAGTCTGTTTCTTAGAAACCACTGTGCCGGGCCTTGCTAGAGCGCTTGAAGCGACTTGGGGGAAAACAACAATGTACAGCTGCGAAGTGCAGGCGAGTTGAGCGTGTTAAAAATTAAGCTTGACACCAGAAGACATTACAAGAGTTTTGTTGGGCATCATACCTCCTTTTGTGGCATGATATCCTTGATCAGCCAAGTCAAGGAGTCGACCAAGCCTGCCACTGGTCCACCAGCAACCTCCATACCCCATCCACACTCAATCCCCGTGGGCTGAACAGAACACCTGTCATTTTATGTCAACCCGTTTTGAGGACTTGCAGTGTCCAAAGGCTGTGTGTGTGTGTGTGTAAAAAAAATTGTGGACTGGCAAGGACGGCTCATCACAAATGTCCTATGCCACAACAGAATTGTTCAGGGGCAAAACGAAATAATACTAAGTAAATTGATAGATGATGGTCCTGTAGAGGAAGGAGAAGAAAAGGGGAAACCACATACACCCAGATCACGTGCAAAATGCGATGCATATACAAAACAACCACGACATGAACATTTTGCATGTGGCCACACATACACACACACAAACACACACATACACACGTACACACACGTACACACACATACACACACATACACACACACACACACACACACACACACACACACACCAATGAACAAATGTCTCAGAAAACAAAACAAAAGAGACATTATTGTCTCACGTAGCATACAGGACGCTGTAGAGTAAATCTGGTGGATTTCTACATGTTAAGACCTCGAAGTGAGCCACCATAATCAGTGAGTGCACTCTTACACTATGCAACTACCACCATCCATTAGAACACACAGCTGATGCGTACATGCAGATGTAAATGTTATGAGTACAGTAGTACTCCTGTTCATTGACAATAGAATTGCAATGGCCGAAAAATAAAGGTACCACATTTTCATAGGGTGATGCCGTCCAGTTCGCTGCAGGATGAAGAAGACGGACCACCAGCAGCTGCATTCTGGGTAGCGGAGTGTGCTCGCAATGGTGGTAAGTTTGTGCCGGCAGGAAGAAAGTATGGATCACCTGCAGAAATTCAGGGCTCACAGCATCACACAAAAGCGTGGGCGCCATTTTGGACAGGCCGCTGTCACACGAGCCAGCCAGCATGCCAGAATCGCGTACATGCGATCAGGCAGATATCTCTGAAAACTTGAAAGTGGGGTGCATTCAAAATGTTCATTTGTACCAATGCTTTTGCCTAGGCCTCTGAAACTCTAGGAACATACTCTCAATACCCATTGTAAGGATTTGTCCGAGAGTTTTTTGTTTTAATCGATACGGTTTGGCGCACATATGGAGCCAAAGTATCAGTTGGTGCAGGCGTAATTCTGATTTGGATTATTGTACTAAAATTGAAAAGTCTCTCAGAGAAGTTCTTCTAATTTTCCTACTGAAAATTTTAAGCTATTGGCCATCAAAATCGGGCCAGAGACGGGCACAAACGAACATTTCAAAGGCAACCCTATCTGCAGTGCAGCCGCCAGGAAGAACCGCGCGCGCTGCACTTGTTGTGAATGCGGAAACAACACTAGCAGCAAAGCAATTTTTTGAAATGTTTTTGCTACTCGCCTGGCGCTTCATCGCTGTGTCCTCCAGGAGATATCATGGTTATGGCAGACCGAAGAAATACATGGCCAGCACAACGGCGAAGCCATTGGACTTGTTCTCTTGCAACGAAACGGAGTGGCGAATCAAATAATTCACAACTCCACATCGTCACCACTGCGCTACACGGCTCTTCGCAGACCAGCCGTATATTTACGTTTACACAACAGGACTTCACGGCGGAGAAACTAAAACTAGAACACGACGTGAGTCATTGCTCCATGCCGTCAAGGAATGCTAGTCCTTTCCCTCTCCCGTCACCCGCGCCTGTGCATCAGCGGCGTAGCTGCCCGGCTGTAGATGTTGAACTCTTTCGTCAACGACTGCAGGATTCTGCTCGGGGCTACTTTTTGCAGGACTCCGTGTGCGGACAGTCTGAATGAAGCCTTCGGCCGATAAGGCCAACACTGCTCGCGAAATAATCCACTTGGAAGGAAACAAGAACTACCGAAATGAAATAGAGATAGTGAGACAGTCTCCGGCCATCTCCTTCACCATTCACGACTCAGTCCTTGTCACAGCAACAAGCCCAAGCAAGTCAAAATCTCCTTGCGCGACTGCGTTCTACGCCTGCGCTTAGCGGTCACGCAAGTTCGTTTCTATGGTGATCAGATCCAAGATGTCCTCCCACGTAATCGAGGTTTTGGCATGGTTGCTGTGAGCCCTGAAATTAGCTCACATGCACTCAACGTCATACACGTCGCGTCACAAACAGCAAAAGCACTACAACGCTTGATACACACACTGCTAACAGCATAATTGTGACTGTGTGTCGATGACAATGCGTTGATGCACTCAGAATGTACACCTGAATTTTCAGGCAGCCCAGAAGGAAGTGTTCAAAGGGAGTCACGCCGTGGTGCAAAAGAGATCTTCCTACAACACATGTTTAATTTCACTTGTTCTTGGATGGAACCGGAATTGCAGTGTTTCTGCTCGTGTGTTCCGCTGTCAAAACAAAGATGTAGGCTGCTTCAAAGTTACACGTGATGTGCTACTTGACTGATGCGGGCCGGCGTGGTAGAAGAGTCTTCACGCACTCGCGAACAGAAGAAAAGTGAACAAAGGAGAAGCAAAATTATGAAAACTAACCAACTCATAAAATGATAAGGCCATAAACACACTCATGAAGACAAATCTACCACAGCCATTGACCCAATCCACATCAGAATAGTAACGACTGGTCGACTGTTTCCTGAAACCAGTAGATCTACGCCACGAACCTCGCATAGTCAAAGAGAATGGACTTCAACAATTGTATTCGGTCACATGCGCGCCACGGACATGCACTGCGCCCTCATGCGAATGCCATGAATGAATATTGCCTGGCATCTACTCTGCTTGCTAGTTACTCACCAACATAGCACAACTACTGGTAAATTCATGGCATCGCTTCTCAAACGTACTTTGTAAGTCCGCGCCTCCTGGCACGACGATCGGATTCGGCCGGAGGTAAGTTAACTGGGACTGGCTACTTGTACCTCTCGCTGACCTCGGACAGACGACTGCCCCGTAGGCCGTAGCGCCAGATGAAGAGGTGAAAGAGCGGCTGTATGTAGGACAAGTACTTTGTAGGCATCCGCTCCGGCTCGACAGGTACAAATCTTCCCGGGACACCGAACATCGTAGAGTAATATTCCTGCAAAACCAAGAAGCAAGGAAGCATTGAATACTTATAATTACACTGACGCCTTCAACTGGGAGGGAACTGGGGAGGTTCACATTAGGTCAATTCTAACTGACACAGAATCATCTTGAGACCCTGGTGCCTACCCAGGCATCAAACAGTTGATACTTGAAGCAGCACGTTGTGCATGGCAGTAAGGAACTCCGGCACAGAACACATACAAGAAGAACAAGCGAAGGTTGTACTGTCATATTCGCGAGTTCAACTCGGATAGAGAGCCAATGATTAAAAATTTAAAAAGAAATTAGCTTAATCAAGTACTGTAAAAGCAGAAATTTTCGGTGGTGTTTTATTTTCGGTAACTTCGGTGCCGACAAGTTTTACCGAAAATAAAACGCACCGAAAATTTCGGTACAACCGATACTGTATACATGTAGTACTAGCACACTTACCTGGAGAATGGGTTTTACCGAAAATTTCCCTCTACCGAACCGCCGATTTTGGAGAATACCGAAAATATTACACCGCCGAAAATTTCTGCTTTTACAGTAGTATGCTCCACTGAACATATCTCTTACAACTGTTAGTGTTGGACACAAACTACGGATAACATGTAACAAGTAACAGTTTGGTTCTTCCTTTTTAATCTACACTACAAGTATTCATGTAACCATGGTTACAGAACGCAGGACAAGTGCGTGCTAGCAACGCATCGACATCTTCTAAAGTAGCACTTGCCTAGATTGGGAATGAACATTGAGTCTGCTAGCGTTGTGCTTCGCCAATGCTCGGCAAGGGGTGGATGTTCCAACCACAGAGTTGTGCAGGAAAGCAATAGATGGGGAGCTTGATAGCAATGTACTGCTGCCATGACGGTCATACCAGGCCGGACGATGATGAAAAAGACTTAATACTTGTAGGTCGTCAGTACTTGGATATCAGTGAGATTCACCGCTGGCAATGCTTCTGGGAGGAGGAAAAAACAAACAAGGAGAAGCGGTATTCACTCGCACCATTACATGTTTGTATTTGCCAACAGAAACATCGAGTCACAGGCGATTTCCAAAGTATTTGACAACGGAAATCAAAGTGGTGGCAAATAACTAGATAACAGTGGCCATCATCATTTTGGCCAATGGAAGTGACTGTCGAAGAATGCAAACAAGCAACGAAACAAGAAGGGAGATCTCATTACAATTTACAACGTCTTTTCTCGGCACTGTTCAGGCGCCGGAGTAAAAGTATAGAAGACCAAACTATACCACGCCATACCGGTACCATATCAACCAGGCAAGCCATGGCATGATGATTCAATATCAGCGCGTCCATTTTACTTCAACCAATCACTATTGAAATAGTTCTCTTCTCACCACTGGTCCAGGGTATGTCCGGATTGAAGCACCACCGCTCAGCAGCAGTAGCGACTTTTCCGATGCGTTCTGTTGCAGTTAGGACGGGTCGGTTTATATCCCGCTAGAGGATTGGTTGTCCTAGTCAGTCTGCTGCGTCGAATTTCCCAAGCAGGTGCTTTCCCCGGACAACTGTTCATCACATTTCAGTCAGAATTAATCGTAGTAGCTGGTAAGTCAGCTGCGGACTTATCCAACAAGACTATCTCAGGCCTTGGGAAATGGCTTCTTCTTTCCTTTGACGAAGAACTAGCGGCTGCCCTTTGGAGCATGCGCACGCTAAAGTTCAAGCAGCAGCGTGCGTTTGAACTTTGAACCATGGGTCCATGACCGGTCATGCAGAAGCAGTCGCTCAATAATCACTAGTCTACACGGTAACACCGGTATGTCACTACTTAGTAGATACTTGAAACTACCCAGACAGGCTCACAACACTTTTCAAACTTCAAACGGGCTCTGGGCTACACCAATCAATGACAAGGAATAGGGTTGTTGGAATCAACTTTCGGGCAAGGCCCATCTTCAGAAAAGAAGTCTCTGTGAACCAAGCAGAAATTATAGATGTGACAAATACGAACACTGTGACAAAAGTGCGAAGTAACACGTTAGTACTTTGTGAGAAATAGCATGGCAGTGCGAGGTTGATGCTTGTTGCTGTGAAATACCACTAAGAAGGAACCGTTCAAGCTGCAAGAAGTTCAGCAAGTAACAGGTACTATACTAGTGCTAGTCCATGATGTAATGTAAGCGAGTTGAACAAGGAATCGGCAGAAAAAGATCATCGGAAACCGGGGGGGGGGGGGGGGGGGGGCGGCGTCACATATATAGTATTCATGGCATTCTAGGGCTTTGCAACTTTGGCCAAGTCGAGGCTTGAAACCAGGGAGTAGTGTATTACAATATGTTTTGCCAAGGGTACCCGATGTTCAGGGAGCTTATTTACTCTTGTTATTACGGTACTCCCTGCTTGCCCGTGAGCCGGAAGTGAGTTTCGGATCCGCCACTTAAATCTTCAAGTTTAAATCATTGCACATTTGGCAAAAGCCTGCGGAATACCTATGCTGGCTGTCCAGATCAGGATTTTGTGAAGCCAACCATTGTGACCTGGCTGGATTTCCTTCTTGAGTTGACTTTCCGACCCAATGCTGGAGTGTAGGTGATTATAATGTACATGTATGGAGTAAACTTGACTCACGCTATCGGATTCATTGAGCTGCTCATACATAGGCTCATTGCGCGAAATCGCGCATCTATGAGCGACATCCACATAAACTGCTGGGACCATGGTTGTGTACTCGAATCTCATTCTGAGCACCCTTTTTCTTCCTTTTTTCAGCCGTTTTTTTGCAAAAAGTCCTCGAGCTCGATTTTTTTTGATCGATCGTTCTTCAAGGAAAGACGAGTGGACAATTGATCAACAGGGCCGAGGACGAATGCGTCTGGTTGGAGTTCTTGCGTGGCACAGGATGACCAGACATACATATAGATACATTGCGACGATCTAATCTGCACAGTGTTTCCTAATACCGCACGCACGACGGTAAGTACAATTCATGTGATTTCAAATTGTTTGTGATCTACAACGTTGCGAGCAGGACGGCAATACAGCAACAGCACGACAACCGTTATACCAGGCAGTAACCAACAGTCACCTCCATCACATTCTCCAGATCAGAAGGCAAGTGAGGCAGTGAACATGAAGAAATAAAGTATGAAAGAATGAAAAGTGAATAATTCAAAAATCTCAGAAACGTTGAACGTAAAAAACACTGAGAACAAGGAAAGTGACTTACTTCGATGGCGAAAGACAAAGCGAATGTTCCTCGTATGGACCTGGCTCTTGCGGAATCAGCCACACTGTGGAACCATGTGTTTGATTCTACAAGGGATGGCTACCTGCTCCTCACCAACCAGCCTCCACGACGGTGGTAAAGTCGCCAAAAATACGAAAGTTGAACATTTTGTGCATGCATGCAATAGAAAATTTGTGCTGAGTATGTCGAGTGGCCATTCGAACAGGACAAAGCCGTTGCGCAAGCTGTGACCCTGAAATTTCGTCCATTGGTAGCGAGGGTAACCCTGAGCTGGAAAGTGCAAGGGATGGCATGCTACACTCCCCCGCATACGCTTGACAGCACGATTTGAGGCGTGGAGTAGTAATATACCAGTATCTTACTACCCCCTGATACCTGATGCATGGACGTCGTCATCTTCATCCCGCAGATCGAAAATGTACAGGTGTCGCGTGATTTCGCGCAATGATGGGCTTTGGGAAATCCTGAAATAAAGATCGCACGTAGCCACCACACAAGGTCACATATCCAGCCAAGACACCACAGTCATGATCACTTCAAAAGCCAGTATCGAATGTTTTCGTTCCCTTCTCTTCAAGGATGATACAGGGAATGGCTCAAGTGGAAGAGGACGACTTCAACCAATAAAGCATAAAGATAATAAGATGAGAGGTTGTGACGAGTGTTACTATCTCATTACCTTAAAAACAATGATGACATTGCCATATCATGAAAAGATTATTCAAAGGACCACTGAGTCAGGGAAGTGAAGTGCCTGAAAAGAGAAAAATGCCAACCCTACCAGGACTCATTGGTTTGACCAGGACTCCGCGGCGTTGGCTTTTGTCTCTCTTTTCAGGCAGTTCACACTTCCCTTGAAGACTTGATCCTTTGAAGTAAGCTCGGAGCCTCCCAATCCCTTTCGATACAAGTTTACTTTAGTTTATTTCCTCTGCCTGATCTTTAGATGTCCACAAATTTCTTACTGATCCTTAGACGGCTTAGTACCAGTACAGTACCGTGAATAGTCAATAGTTATGATCATGACTTGTCATGCTGATCTTTGGTCGAGCTACATAGTTCCGTCTGCAGTGTCGAGCATCGCTTGCCTGGTACTGGTAGCAGGGACGACGTACACCCCCCCTTTTTTTCGATGCCAGGTTGCAACGCTAACGCCGAGACCCCTGGTCGGTCAAGTTGCTCCCTGTACATCGGCACGTCGTCCCTACATCCCCTGTGTCTTGTTTTTGTGTTTGTCTCCACATGTCTCTTTGTAGGGCTGTGTTCCCAATTAAAAAAAATGTAGATCTATATATTGGGGTTATTGATCCGAGTGACACCTTCAGGCTGTCGACATAGGCACTTGGACAGGAGATTACTAATTCTGACGGTGTCACTGTGGATACGAAGCATGAGGAGGCGGAGTTTACAATGGGCGTTTTGGATGATGGGAATGAGGCCACGACGTGTGTAATGGGATCTGTGTGGGAGGGAACGGGGGATACATCGCTTGTCGAGAACCAAAAGCTGATGCCGTTCGTGCGCAGAGAGAGAGCCGAGAAGAAGGCATAGCATCGATACCCTTGCAATGACCTTGACGCTATATTTTTTCTGCTAGTCTCTTCTTTTTTCTTCCTCTCTTTGAAGTTTCTTACCAGTTTTCCCATCCCACGTATCTCATCACTCAAGCGAAAACAGGAAATCCCCTCGACAGGCGAACAGCACACTGCACAGGTCTAGGTCTATTCAGGGAGTCGTAAAATAAGGTATTTTAAGGTATTTTACGACTCCCTGTCTACATCCGACCGGCGTGTCCGCTCATCGCTCGTACAATACACGCCATGACCATGATGACGTTGATGACGTTCTTGCACTTTTTTTGGTGTCTCTTTGAGTTTGATCGTACACGAAATGTGTAGGTCTACGTGTGGTACATGATAATTTGAAAAGGTCATCACTTTCCTTCATTCATGGTGTTCATGAAGAACGTTTCTCCACTTCATTGGATCAGGCAGGACCCCCTATATTTCAGGAACATGCCAAGCTAAAGAGACACAGCGAAGTCAGAATGTCGGTTGCTGACAAGTTGAATAAATTGCTGGATTCGTGCAGGGAGCATGCGGACGATGCAAATCGTCCCGATGGACCTTCTCAAAAGTGAGCCTGCTTTTATACGATAATCATTTCAATTCAGATGTTGTGCTAGTCACCATGCAGCCGGTCAGTTTATGGATAGAAAATACGCCATCATGTGCAATCGGCTACTAAACAGAGCTATTATCTTTTCGTGAATTTTACCAAACCATTACGATAACAGTAACCAGTCACAAACAATGCTAGTAGTCAATTAATACACTGTAGTAAATAATCGGCGGGGAGACAAAAACAGTAGTATTGAAATGAAACGCGTTCATCAGCAGTCACAGTGTAACAGTCGAGATGCGATTCAAACGTTTTCTTGTGGCATTCATCAGGAATCAATCACCACAATGTGGTACAATTGAAAATAGAATCAGAATTAAATTCTGATACACAGTAGTCAAGTCAGAGAGAAGCAATAAGTGCAACAAATACCAGAAACAAGAAACAATTTGTAATCTCCTCTCTTATTGTTATAAACTCTTCACCGCTGCTTTTAGCGCTAATAATATGAGGCCACACAGAATTCGGGTCACCTGACCGACCGTCCTTTTTCACCCGATCGCGAAAAGTTTTTTAAATTTTTTATTGTGCATGCAAATGTACTATTGTTACATGGCTGTGTACATATACATCGACTTTCAGCAGTCCAGGCATCGACCTCAGAAGCAGCCAAATGACAGGATCTAGGATGCAGCTGTTGGTGACGACGTTGTCTTCTATTATCTCCCATTCGCAATCGGTCCTGAAACATCATCAGCTCCGCCTCCCCGTCGCTCATTGACAGAAGTTTTGGTGCCCCGGAGAGCTGCTCGGCAGACTCGTTTGCCAGCGAGGCCAAGATCTGGTCCTGGAGTGGACCTGATGGGACAATGGAAGTTCTGGATCGTCTACAATCAGATTTGATCGACTGGCTTGATGGACAAAAGCTTGGATTATCGATATGCACAATCTACCAGGATTGTCACATATGTATGCACACATGGCAGTAGCCAAAAAAAAAAAAAAAACCAACCGACCGATCCTGGTGCGGATGAGTGAAGTGACCTGAAACAACGAATTAATTCTAGGTGGCCTGACTTGTTGTATGACTTTGAGCACTCTGGCAAGGTACATTCGGGCTTGGTTTAAATCTGGCTTTGGAAAATTTGTTTTCATTGCTATCAGATTCGGCCTCATTTTCTCTGTGCTGCGCTGACGAGTCCATAAAGGACGAAACAGTTCTGTCCGCAGATTGAGCAAGCACAGCTACATGTGTACCAGTCACACCCCTTGGGCATCATGCACAATTCTCTCTCTAAAGCTGCATTCACAACGGCCGCACATGTATGGTATGGGCACAGGTCAAGTTTTGTTCTGAGTTGCACTCAGCTCTCAGTCCCAGCATGCCCGGATATTGGGAGGTCTACTGTACTTCGTTTGGGAAGGCGAAGGTGGCGTGGGTGAGGAGCACCACCCTCTATATATCGAGCTTATTGAAACAAAAGGTCTCCAGCACCTCCTGCCTGGTGGTCAGAATTGACTGTAGGCTACCAATACCTTACCTTTGCTGAGCTAAATTTTGACCAGAGTAAATGGTGGGGACGATATGTGAAACACGCTGAAAAAACAACCATTGGCCATATGCATGGTAGCTGAAAAACCCAGCAAATTTATCCAAACATGTGGTTTCACATATGTGCACCAGTTGTGCTTGATGAAATCTGGCCAAAGGGAAAAGTTAGCACCCTTTACCAGTGTTCAGCCCATGGAACGCCTTTCTTTTTCTTGTACAGAGTTGTGTGTGTGTGTGCGTGCGTGCGTGCGTGCATGTGTGTGTGTGTGTGTGTGTGTGTGTGTGTGTGTGTGTGTGTGTGTGTGTGTGTGTGTGTGTGTGTGCTGTCTCTCCTGACCTCTCTAGTGTTGCAATGGTAGATTGCAATGAGGCCATTCCACTGGTGTAGCATTTATCTTTCTGTATGTTCTTACTTGGGCACGTCCCCTTGTTCTGTTTGTTCTTAGGAGCAAGAAAGAGCAGATATCTCTGTGTCACAATGTTGTGGACTTGGTGTGCAGTCCGCAGCTGCGCATGGAAACATTCAAGTGAGTGTCTTACCTTTTCTGGTCTCCATCATTTGCCCTCGGCCTGTGTTGGCTGAGTTGTCTTAGTTATTTACGTGGCCTATTAGTATATTTATTTGGTGGCATTGGTGTCGAATTCACCAGTCGTGTCTTTTTAGCAAGAAGTTTTCAAAGGGAAGTCAAAAAGTCCTGTTTTGGAGACCTGGTCTGTGGTCGTCAGAAGAGCAGACATTCTGCAGACGTTCTGTAGACGTTCTGTAGACATTCTGTAGACGTTCTGTAGACGTTCTGTAGACGACGCTCTGCAGACATTCTGCCTTGGTGCTGTGCTGATTCTGGTATACCCCCCCCCCCCCCCCCCCCACCTCCTTGTCCGGATTCCGGGCACCCTTCTGATCACTCTTTGATGAAAATGGCTCTTCAATGAAAAATGAGACGGAAAAACAATGAGTGCCGTAAAGAGTGTATTACCTTCGAAAGCAAAACAGTATGTATATCGGAGTTGTGAGTAGTACCTGGTCCCAACTTGCCCGGATAAGGGGAGTTCTACTGTAATCTGGGTCACTTTTCCCATGCTATCGCATCGTTCTTTGCATCCTGTGTGTGTATGTGTGTGTGTGCATATGTGAGCTTGGACGTTTACCTGCATGTTAACATGTGTGTGTGTGTGTGTGTGTGTGTGTGTGTGTGTGTGTGTGTGTGTGTGTGTGTGTGTGTGCATGTTAGTAGGAACTTGGCCGAGTTCAATAGGCTACTAGGGCTGAGCATGGAGCTCCTTCTTCGTACATGTGAGCACACAGAGACAGATATTCGACTAGTCGGTGATGAGTGCCTCAACCGTCTTATCAAGGTATGAAAATCTTCATTTTTTACATATGCCATAGAAGATTTCTGTATGTGTTTCAGACTCACATGAGCTTCATCGAGCGTAACTTGGGTACACACCAATGGATTCACTTCAAATTTTCAACACTGAATCCTTTTACGGACAGATGTCAGATAGGATACTACCCAATGAGCTGGGTTTGTCAATCATCATTTCACCGTCAGCCAAATTTCCCAGATGACGGGCGAAAATAGCAGAACTTCGGGACAAAAAGACAACAACGGAAATGAAAACAACCTATCAAACAAGGATACAAGAGTAACCTACTGGCTATTGAAAGTATCATGGACCAAAATAATTTGGTCCAACAGACAAAGCAATCAGCCTAGCCACCGATCAAGTTACAAATGTCCGATCGCGCGTAGACAAGGTACACTCCACTGCTACAAAATCCATTGCAGTAGGAACTTTGGGTGTAAACAGTGGTCCATGATGACCCAAATACACCACAAACTCCAATATTATTATACTTTTCTAGGTGTCGTATAAAGTCTTCATAGAGAAAAGCTGTCCCATAGTTCACGGAAGGCTGTAAAATAAGAGAAAAATAGTATTCAAATATAACATAAATTGACCCTAAAATCCACCACTGGCATAAGTTTCACCTTCTACTTCCATGGTATCCTTCTCTAATCTCCTTCTCTGCCTCCTCTGTCACTTTCTGCTGTCCTTTTCCTCACTGGTATGCTTCCTCTTAGCGAAATAGAGGCATTCAGTATCCGCATCCACCCGGTTCTGGGGCGTAGCTCGCTTATCTCTGGTGTGGTGACCATGTACTGGAGCACATCTCTGGTGTGCTGACCAAGTACCAGCAACAACCTCATAGCCAATATGTTGCCCATTTTGAATACGTAGTACACTGTACCTATGATCGCCACTCTCTGGTGTGGTCGCCGGACTACGCTGACTATACATGAGCTATGCGCCTGAGGCTGGCAGTGATAGTGGCCGACTGCACAAAGCCCATGTCCGCAAGAACACACTGGACCATGTTTTCCCGTCATTGCCTGCGCTTGAATTCATCAGAGCAAGCCAGCAGCTGCGTAGAAGGTGTTCACTCCACACAAGGTGGTATTGGACCAGTACTGCCATACAATAGCCTGAATAGGGCATCGTTCTGATTCTGGGTGGCACCGCGGCAACAGCGCTCCAACAGTTGTCCACCTGCCACCAAACGATGGTGGGCTGGGTTTATGGCTTGAAACACAGCTAGTGGGATGGTGTCAAAATATACGTAATACAGTCGTCCCTCTCTAATCCGGCACTTGTTTATCCGGAACCCTTGCCAACCGGCGCACTTTCTGACGAAACCGATTTTTTTCGTTCAATTCCTACATCTTAATCCGGCACTTGAATTCCGCCTCCGGCAGTTACTTTTTGAAACGAATCGCTCAAACTGCACCTAGTTTGATTTCATAATCCGGCAGTCGTAAATCGCGTACCGTACAGGTGCACTCCTTGCCAGGCCGGGCTAGGCCAGTCTGGTCAGTGCCGCGCGCGCGGGGCCACTTCAGAGTTCAGTTCAGTTGACAACTGTACTCTACCTCGTGCGGGAGAGTTCAGTTCGGTTGGTTGTTCGGACTTTTCCGAACCCTAACTCAATGGTAGTGTCCTGCCAATTTTCAGGTGCGTGTGTGTGCAAGAGTACATGTGAACATGTTCTCTGTTTTACTTCATCACTTTACTAGTCACTGTGTATATTCCTGGAGAACAGTTGAGAATATAAAGCCGTGCACCAAATACTTGGGTCGACACGGAAAAACCCTGCGTTTTGACGTATGATACATGCATGCAATTGGGTAGGGCCGGGTCAGAGGGCAGGATTTCTTAATCCAGCACCCTCGTTAATCCAGCAGAAAACGCCGTAGCAAAAAGTGCCGGATTAGAGAGGGACGACTGTATTATGGAGGTCTGTTCAGATCATGATGCCTGCCTGCAAGACTGTTCTTTCCTACCAGACACCTTGTGGCCATATGCTGCACTCCATGCACACAACAGGAACAAATCTACTCCGTTTCTTCTCCACAATTCTCAAATACAGCTCGTGGCAAGCACTACACAGAGCAGCCGACCTCAGTAGAGTATTCAAAGCAGACAAATCGACTACATGTCGATCACTAGTCCATTCCTGTTCCTGGTTGGTGTCTGACTCGCCATCTGAAGCGCTGCAATTTTCTTCAGCAAAGGGCAATTCCTTCAATTTCTTGAGCGATTCATCAATTTTTGCTAATTCACACAATTCCTCCGCTGGCTCGTCCAGGCATGAAGCTATGTCCTCAGCGACTCTAGAGGGGTCTTTGACCACTGCCACTGGTTGCCACAGAACCATCGTCTTTTCTTCCAACTCTGACGGTGCTTGCTTGTCAGCGAAATTCAAACATGTTTCCAGAAACAAAATAAATTTCAAATTTATTTTCACAACGACGTACAATGTAGATCGTAGATATGCACAGGGCGCGAGGTACGGTACGATTTTCCCACTTCAGTATGCGAGAATGATTTTCCCGGGCTTTGCCAGCCCGGGCCCTGCAGTTCCTGTGAGTTTGGAAGCAGCGAAACACCCCATGGCGTACGCCGTGGTTTGAGATTTGCAGGTCAAAGAATCACGTAACTTCAATGCAATTTCAAATCCAAATTGATAGAAAATTCAAATATGTTTCATCTTGCGCCGCGTATATCTCTGGCTCAGTACATCTTGCGACCACCAAATTTTAGGAGAGCGTTGTTCAAGGCAATACCTTTCATTTGAGACCTCACTGGATCAAATCCAACGACTTTCAGATTTTTCGATACCACACCATTGCGCCAGGTCACTGATATGGTAATTATGTCCCATGACCATTGTGCATTGCACACAACCACTACATCCTGTAAAGCCTTCATGTTGAACATGTTCTTTTTAGGGCTGCGACGTGTAGGGGTTTGGTCGGGTAACAGGTTCGGGTATTTTTATCCGGGTAGCACAGGTACCCTATCGGGTATTTTATGACACAGTTTGTACTGTGAGTGTACACTTGCGCTACATAGAAAGTGTACAGTAAGCACGTAGCCGTGCTGTTTACATGCACCGTTGCAAAAACACCGTACACCAACTACCCGATCGGGTTCTCAGGAGTAAATTGCTACTCTACTACCCGATCAAATTATGGGTAGCATGGGTACCCTACTACTTGTTGAACCCCCTAGAACTTCTTTTGTTGGTTTCACCAATCCTATGTGTTTGCTCATGATCTGTGTTAGGGTCTTATGGACAGTGCAATTGGCCGTGTTATTGTGGAGCTCTTCAAGGAAATGAGACGGGTATGTTGTAGCTGAAGCAGTAGATCAAGTTTTCATTTTATTAATGACTTGCATTGTGTTTCTGGGATGCATGTGTTTTGCGAGTCAGTGGCACACACGTACTGTACACTTAGCTGAAGTACTACAGCACCGTCCATGCATGTGGAGCAGTGCATGCACGTGGAGCTGTGCATGCACGTGGAGCTGTGCATGCACGTGGAGCTGTGCATGCACGTGGAGCTGTGCATGCACGTGGAGCTGTGCATGCACGTGGAGCTGTGCATGCACGTGGAGCTGTGCATGCACAGCTCTGTGTATGCACTGCTCTCTGCATGCACAGCTCTGTGTACGTGTACTGGGCCTGTGCTTTCGCCCATGGGCGTTTACATGGAGGTGGGCTAGAAAACGGGACAAGAGTGTTGACACCCGTCACCTGGGCGTGTACACGGGCAGTGGATGTTACACTGGGTGTTCGTTGATATGCGCTTTTACGCTATAGTAGCAGTACAGTATGCTTTGTTCCTGATTGGTTACAAGTATGGCAGGTTGTCAGTTATAGCGATAGTAGTGCTGTTTCTTTTCTTCTTACGTAGAATTCATCTCCTCGAACTCTGAAAGCTGCACTTTCCCGCTTTGCCGACCTGTGTCACCTGGTTCGAGTACAGAAGTGCCGGTATGTCCTTCTATGTGCTGTGCTGCTCAAGTTGTTATGTTCTGTGCTGCTCAAGTTGTTACGTGCTGTGCTGCTCAAGTTGCCTTGTTTGCTTGTGCGTTGGATTGGACACTCAGTAGCTATGGCTTTTTGTTTGCTCAAAGCTGAAGTTCTTTCTTGTTGTTGTTGCCCAAGCTTTTGTATTTGCTTCTTTGCTGTGATCGTCTTCTCTGCTAAGTGTGGCTGCACTGTGAGATAAACTGGTGACAAGTGTTGTGTGAGATAAGAAGATATCCTGAAGGCAGTGACTTGGTGGTCACTGTCCACTGTTCATTTGATTTCATCCTCTTTTGTATTGTGTAACTGTGCTCTTTCACTAGGCAATACGTTGAGGGACTTATACCTGTCTTGGCACAGCTGTTGCAGCGTGAAGAGGAGACGATACAGGTAAGTTGTGAGTACTAATCACAAACGGGTTATCAGAACACATTGCAACCAAGCCCTGTTCGAAGAAGTATTTTTTTAAATTATAAATTTGTACTGTTCTGCCTACTTATGCAGTTGTCTACAATTGAATCTATCACTTCATGGCGAGCCACGTTATGTAACTGACATTGTTCAGTTCTCCCATTACTTTAGTCGATTGATGTGCATAGTTAGCAAAACTTCACCACGTTTCGTGAATCCCTATGGCAGAATGGAAGACAACGGTATCCTCATTGAGAGTGTTGCATTCTTTCTCTAGCTCTTTAGAGTATGATAAACACCTTGTCAATACTACTAGTATGATTATGCAGAAGAGTACTTCCCAACAAAGAAGTAGAATATCTATCTCCAGTGCAAATGCAGTGTACCTGTGTTTTGCCAAGTTGAACATGATGTCGGGTTTGACAGTTTCAAGCTTTGCGACCTTTTTATTGACATCTTTGTGTGTTGCATTTCAGGATTGTCTTTCATCCACCATGCCCAAGCTGATGTCAGTGTTTGGTAGATTCATGAATGACAAAGATGTGAAGGTAAGATTGCTCCCCTCCTGAAGAAAGTCCCACTATGGTTTGCCCGCGTATTTGTGATGATTCGGTACCATCAATCCTACAATGTAGTGACGGTGCAGCCGTGGCACACAGCCGTGGCACGCAGCCGTGGCACGCAGGGTGTTTGCTCCCTACACTAGGATACTCAGTGTTTTTCTGTCAATCGTCTGCACTCACAGGCTTTTGGCATTGTGGCACTTGCTGTACATTCAACTTTTGGGGTCGTTTATATTCAGGATGGCTTTCTAGGGGCTGCAACTGGATTCTTTTGCTTACTGGCGAGTGTCTTTCTTTGTCTTGTGTGCTGTGTGCTGTGTCTATTTCTTTTGTAGAATTTGATGACAATCCCATTGGCACGGTTGAACTCATCATCCGCGTCCGTGCGGCGCATGGCCTCTTTTGTATTGGCCACAGTGTGCCAGTACTCTCGTAAACCCAAGCACTTCTCAGCTCTGTTGGTGCAGAGGTTGATGTGTAAGTGCAGTACACATTTTGTCCCGAGAGTGGTGTTGCTAGTGGTTACGGTGGAAGCAATGAACTGGAAAGTGGGCGTTTAATTTCTTTTTGAGTAGGTCTCTTACTTCATTAGAGACGTTGGGCATTGCAAGACTGTGAAGGAGCATCTGACCTAGCCAGTGCGTGTTTGCCCTGAATTCATGTGAAGCCAGTAGAGGACTACTGGCACCTGACCTGTGTGATATGTGAGAGAGTGGAGTAACGTCGATATCAATCCGTTTTTTTGTAGTGCTACTCCCCATGTTGATTGTTTGACGTCTTGTGCACTGTTGCTGCTTCTTCTCTGCTGTTACTTCTGCTGCTGGTGCCATGTTGCCGTGTTGATGCTCATCATGGTATATTGGCTCTACAGCTATGGTGTTTCCAGGCCCGGCATTGGCTACGGATGGGTCTCTGTACCTTGGTGTACTGATGTGTTTGCGTCACTTGCTCGGTCCCAATCTACTGGGTGGTAATTATGAAGGAAGTGAGAATTCCACTGACTCTGGCCTCATCCATGATCGTGGACGGCCGAAGGAGCTGGAGGTTTCACAGTCTGAATTAGAGCTGGTAATCATTGTGCTGTGCTGTGTGTGTGTGTGTGCGTGCGTGTGTGTGTGCTGTGTGTGTGAGTGTGTGTGTGTATTGTGTGTGCTGTGTGTGCTGTGTGTGTGTGCGTGCGTGCGTGTGTGTGTGCGTGCGTGTGTGTGTGCGTGTGTGTGTGCGTGTGTGTGTGTGTGTGTGCTGTGTGCTGTGTGCTGTGTGTGTGTGTGTGTGTGCTGTGTGTGTGCGTGTGTGTGTGTGTGTTTGTGCGGTGTGTGTGTGTGTGTGTGTGTGTGTGTGTGTGCGCACGTGTTGTGCTCTTGCGTTGGTGCGTGAATATGTGTCACAGAGTGGGTGTAATGACTTCCCCAATGATTTCCCCAATCACTTTAGTTTGATGATATGCATGTTGACTTGCCCGTACAAGTGGCTTTTTCCATCGTGAACATGGCATACTTGATCAAATCCAGCAAAACCTGGAGACCAGGAGTCGTGAAGTGCTTGTTACGTGGCTTTCATGTTAGTTTTACCTCGATGTATTCATGGTTCCTTATTGCATCTGACTTTATCTTATTTTGCCTTTGTGCCAATCACAGCTATATAATGTGTGTGTTTGTGTGTGTGTGTGTGTGTGTGTGTGTGTGTGTGTGTGTGTGTGTGTGTGTGTGTGTGTGTGTGTTTGGTTGCCTGTTACTGCAGGCCTTCAGCCTTTTGCTGTATTGCAGCCAGCACTCCGACCATAACGTTATCACAGCCTCTCTTGAGACCCTACAACAGCTGCTCCGTCAGCCCCCTGTTCTGCTACGCAAGTGGCTGGTTACGGCGGGTCACAAGATGGGTGCCAATGAAGCCTTTGTCCAGTCGGATGTAGCCAGTCAGTTGGCACTAGCATGTCGCCTATGTGCGAGTACTCGTCTTGCTATACCTGGGCAAATGGATGCCTCATCATTGGGTGGCAGTTCTATGGATTTAAATGCATCTATTGACAGCAATGCGTTGGCTGATTCTTTTATTGAAGTGGAGATGGCGCTGGCATTGGAGAATGACGATACCGATGGTCCAGTGGCCAAAGCAGAGAATCTAGATGCCCCCATGGCACAGCTTACTGGTGTTACGCCATTGTCTATTGGTGTGCAACCAGCTGAATCTGTAACCCCTCCACCAGCAGATGACTCAACATCGGTGCACCTGAGTGCTGAAACGTCTTCTTACTGGCCTTGGCAACAGAACGAGCAGGATGCTTTTCGCATCCCAGTGGTATTCGCTGTTAATCTCCTCTCCTCGTCTTTCCTGCTTAGCGGCCAAGCCGGTGGACTGATTAATGATCGTAAAGTGCGTGTCAGCGTCAAGTCCCTGGCACTTTCCTGCGTTGGAGCTGCCGTCCACCTCTGGCCAGCATCACTTCAAGGCCATGTATATCCACTATCATCCTCTGCTCAGCAAACACAGGAGGAGCACTCGCAGCAGTTGCTACGTGATGTCCTTCTGTTCATGAATCACTCCGATCAGCAGCTACGAGGCAATGCCGTCCTTGTTGTCGGCCATCTTCTACCAGCTGCACTGTCTTTGGGAAGGTTAGTCCTGTGCAGCCACCTCCCAATGCCAGAATGCTCTCTCAATCCAAAAATCACCACACTCAATGTATCATTGTCGAGTATTCCCCAATTCATAGGCATGGCCCTTCTTCATAGCAACACCCTGTTAACTAAGGCAAGCGATCAAGAAAGACAGCAGGTAAACCGCAAAACAGTGAAAGGACTGATGATGTGAGGTATACTTAGTAGGGGAAATGTGATCGTCTTCTACCTGACTCGCTCACCATGCCCCAATTGTAAAGTTTGGGAGATATAGTATTGGAATTGAGTTGCAGCATCTTAGACCTTAGTGGTGGTAGTAACATCAGTAGTGTACTTGTATTGTTAGGAGAAAGTGATAAACGCGAGGAATTGTCCGTAAACTTCAATGCAGCCACTTACAACTTACAACTTCGCCATTTCCCGGATGGTCTCTTTACTGTGAATTGAACCGGTAAATCGAGGCCCCAAGTATTGGAAATGCTTAGAGCTAAGTTAGTCCTCCTTGTGGCTGTATTAAAGTTGCTGTCTCCAAAACGCTTATTCAAGCATTGGGGGTGACTTATAACAGGGGTCGACTGGTAACCGGTAAAATACCGTAATTTTCTGTTCATTCCACCAAATTTCCGGGCCTGGGCTATAATCGGGGTGACAAAAGGCGATCCTTTGCCAAAACATTTGCTGTAGCCCTGTGGGAAGCTGCTTGCCCTGCGCCATTGCAGCATATGCACACCTGGATCATAGTTAAGATGGTGGTGTGTTTGTGCCTTGTGAAATGCTTGCCTGTAGGGGTGATTTTACCAGTTGGTCTCTGGAAGCTGCACAGGGCTATGACACTGGTAAGTAGATCATGTACACACATTTCAAAATCTTCCAGGATGATTGCCAGCCTGTCTTCTGTGGGGAGGTTGGTTGTTTTGGGGTATTGGATAAAACTTGGAAATTTGCGGATTGGTACCAATTCATATAGTGTGTATTTTGATTTTGTATTACCGGTAAGTGTATTAGGAAATTCTCCGATCTGATATTATCAGGTCTCCACTTTTTGTAGTGGTAGATTTTTCTTGTGACCAGGCGAGACCACACGGCGCTTGCAGACACCAGCACTACTATGAATTGACGGACGACGTGAAGATGGCATCAGCAAGTTATTTCTGCACTTTCTCTCTGCTTGACATAGATGCATTCAAACTGGATGACTTAGTGGACATGATCTGTGTTGGCCTGCGCGACTCTTCGTCGATGGCATCTCGCATGGCGTGTATTGCAGTGCGCACTATCCTACCAATGTTAATGGATAGTCGACAGGCACTGGCTAGTTTGCAGCTACTGCAGGCCTTGCTACAGCTCAAGTCGGACACCTACTGGCTTGTGAAGGTGTGTTGCTGTCTGCTGCTGGACTTGCTTGTTCTTCTTGCACTTATTTCTTTTCTGTAGGGGTGAAACGGTTCGGGTAAGGAACCGGTTTTGGAACCGCCAGCTGAAAAGAATCGGGTACCCGTTCCGTCAAATTTCGAACCGAAACTCGAAAAATCTCGTTCTCGTACAAATACATGTACACGTCAAGTCTACTCAAGATTTAAAATGTCTTACCTTACGATCCCCACTCTTCCAAAGAGTTCTCTGGTCATTATCTTCTTTGCACTTGGACTCTCGAGATCTCCGATGTCTCATTCTTGCTCGTAAAAATGTTTTTTTCTAAAAAAAAATGTCGCGAACGCATTTTGTCGGTCTGGAGAAAAGAGTGCATGGAACCGATACCCGAACCGTGGGAAACAATGCTGGCATTCGGGTACCCGAACATGAAAAACATGGAACCGTTTCACCCCTACTTTTCTGCAGTACCCACGTAGGTGTGTGTGTGTGTGTGGATGTGTGTGTGTGTGTGTGTGTGTGTGTGCGTGTGTGTGTGTGTGTGTTTGTGTGTGTGTGTGTGTGTGTGTGTGTGTGTGTGTGTGTGTGTGTGTGGGTGTGTGTGTGTGTGTATCCGTGTGTGTGTCTCTCTCTGTGGTGTGTGTGTATATATGTGTGTGTGTGTGTGTGTGTATGTGTCTGGTGAAATCTGTTTACCGGTATTGTCTGCATATTTATATGTCCATGTATTATTTGTTTTGGTCATCATCATGGGCGCTGCTGGTTTGTTTCAAGGGAGTTTCGTCTTGCCCAAGTTCAGTGATTCTTCAAGTCTGTCCACTCACTTCAGTACATGTATTTTCTTTTCATGTTTTCAGGCTGAGCTGCTGGAGATTATGGGCTCACTAGACTATCAGTAAGACTTAGTATTACTTGCATGATCAGGCATTCTTGTGATTGTAAACCCTGCTTCTTGAATTTATTCATCATGCTCAGCTTGTGGTGTGATGCACTAGATTGCAAGTCGTTGTTCTTATAACTTCTGACTTGATCAGTTCACTCCCGTCTGGTCTTGTTCTCTCATTTCTCTTCGGCAGTGTATTCTTGACGAGAATTGGATGAACCATAAGATCCTTGTACCCGCTCTTTCTCTGTGCTTTCTAGGTTATTACACTTCCTGGAGTCAATGAGACGCCAGCAGCCAACATCGGTTCGACTTGCTGTAAGTACACTACATGTTTACTCCATTATGAAACCCCTTGATCCTATGGTCAATACCAAGAGTAGATAAACAAGAGTGTGCAACTCGCGGATGGGTTGGCCCACGGCGGAATTTTTTGTTGACGTAATCTTTTCGACGACGCACGCGCTGCGAGCCTTTTGGAGAGTTTTCCCTCGTGCACTTGGCTGGGCTTTGCACTACAAGGTCGGTGCCCAGCACGTGCTCTCACACTGCTCTGCGACAAAATCCGCGTTTCTCTGAAAAAAGGTGACGAGTACAGGATCTGCAGATTGTGCAGGAGAGATCCGGAGTTGCACACTCTTGTTTATCTACTCTTGTCAATACTGATCACACGCACTTGGAATGCTTTGTTCTGAGCCATCATTGTGTTCATCTCCGTGTGTAGCCAGAGAACTTCATGTACCATGTACCATTCTGTTCTGGTGATCCCTCTTTTTTGGTGATAATAGCTACTGGTATTTGTTGTCAGATAGGCACACTGCATAAATGATGCCTGTCTTTTTTTCTTGTGTTTGTGTGTGTGTGTGTGTGTGTGTGTGTGTGTGTGTGTGTGTGTGCGTGCGCGCGTGCATGTGTGTATGTGTTTCCCCATACAGGCCAATAGTATTCAGCAGCAGGTATTGCATGCCGTTGTTCTACCTCTACTTGGAGACAGTGATAGCCGAGTACAGAGCTGTGCTGCACAGACACTAGTGAAGTATGTGTGGGTGGGCGGGTGGGCGTATGGGAAGTGTTGGTCTATGTTATTGGTGTATAGCAGCTGTGTTGATTTACTCTGAACTCACTCGGCCATGTGGTGTTAACAGAGTGGCGTTGATGACAGGCAGGTCAACATGGGTCCTAGTGCAGGGAAGTTACAATGATCTCTTCTTTTTTTGCCAAGTGGAATTTTCTTTTGCTGTGCCTTTCCGTGATATACCTATCGAGTACAGACCTGCCATGTATACTTTCAGTAATGCTTGCAGTAGCAGTGACAATACAATCCTGACACTCTTACCCTTCTAGTTGTACCATGTCCTGGTTTTTATTCACTTATTGTATGACACACGGTAGGTGAATGAAAGCTATGACGTGACGACTCACCACAGCTGAGTACATTGTATTCAGCTATGGTGAGTCGCCACTCACTGTGAGAGCTGGCTGAGTCTGAGTGTCTCTTGCTGTGCTTTGTGCTGTGGGCTGTGTGCTGTGTGTGTGTGTGTGTGTGTTTATGATGGTGTTGCGTTGTGTTGCCCCAGACTTGTATCCAGGCTGTATTATGTTGAGGACTATGGTAAACAAGGCATCCTGACTACCATGGCTTGTCAACAAGCAGGTCAGTGTTCCTATTGAATTCACTTACGTAGCAGAGAGGTTGCAAAATTTGACAGTTGGGCGAAAATGTGTAAACAGCGCTGACCAGATTTCGTCGTGGGGTTATATCCTCTTTGTTTCATTCATGCTTCCGTCATTGTTTTCTTTCAATTGAAAGATCCCTGTTACGTTAGCCTTAGGAATAGCATGTAGGATTTGAAAATTACTGGTGAATAGTTTACATGCAGGTTATGGTTAGCATGTTTACATGCAATAAATTGAATGGTGGATTTTGTGTTGCCGTTTGTGCCTTTTTCGCTTTGTTATCAGAGCATCTTTTCTTGACGCGTTTATCCTTAAGGCAGCCTACTTTTGATTCCTCACTGGTAGTCTTGCTATCGTCCAAGACCAAAGCGGAGCAGGATATTGGTGGTAGTAGCAGTCAACACCCTCCAACACTACTGGCTGCACTGGAGGCTAACTTGTCACGGGTCTTGGTGGCTTTGAATCAGATGATACTGTCTGCTACATCAGTTACCTTGCAGGTAGGCGCATTCAGTTACTATTATTTCTCTGCTTTCTGGACTTTGATTACGAGTGAGATTCGAGGCTTGGGAGCGAATCTGTGTGCATCCCCCGTCTCCTCAAGTGCATGTTGTGCGTATTTCTGGATTTGAGCTGGTTGCTCAGTGTGTGGATAATGGTGCATGCGCTAGTAGCTTTTTGTGGTGCTGGTGCTGGTATTTGGAAGTGGTCATTGCGGAATCAGGGGCGTCGGAAGGTAAGTTAGGATGGTACGGTCAGCCATCTGAAGTACAAGTTACTCGTGGGGGAGGGGTTGCTGAGCCGAACATTTTGGAAATTTAGAGCCCAAATCAGTGCATTTTATTGATTCACAGGGTACTTGGGGCAAATAGTGGTACGGTCAATACCGTAGTGACCGTACCATGTCCGACGCCCCTGGGAGTGGTAACGTTATCTACTGCACGCAGTGCATGATGTACACGTATGTCTGTGTCTGCGCCTGTGTTTTTGTCTGTGCGTGTGTGCCCGTGTCTGCGCCTGTGTCTGTGCTTTTTCTGTGCCTGTGCGTGTGTCTGTGCCTGTGTCTGTGCCTGCGTCTGTGTCGGAGCCTGTCATGTGTGTCTGTGTTTGTGTCTGTGTTTGTTGACAGGTTATTTCTTACTTGTCCACATTTGATAACAAATAGCTGTGACTTGCTATATTGTACTTCGAGTACACTTGTAGTCTGTCTGATCATGTCACTGTTGCTCTCCTATACGCGTGTGTCCAGATTGGTGTGTGCGGTGCCCTGAAGGAACTCTCTGATTCCTACCCAGTTCACCAACACTCATCAGCATGGTGCAATGTGTCATGCTCCAAAGCCGGCTCATCCTCCTCAGCCTTGACCACTTCATTGGCACCTTCCTCAGCGAAATCAGCGTCAGGAGGAGCATCGCAGACTAGTGTATCTAACAAGTCTCAACCAGCATCTTCCTCTACTACCCTCTCTACTAGTGCTGACACCAGTCGTGGTAACAACACGGATAGCACAGCATCAGCCAAGTCAAAACAAGATACCTTGACCGTCAAGGCCGGTTCAGATTCTGCAGAAGGACAGGAGTCGCCTGGTAAGGTGCGGCGATTCTTCAACAAGTCCACTCCATCCACTGCTCAGCAAAGCAATGCATCTTCCGGTTCTGTGCCGGCTGAGAAACCTAAAACTGGTTTGTTCAGCTTTGTCAGCAGAAGTAAAGCCACATCGACAACCAGCGCCAGCAAGGAGAATGCAACAGCAGTGCTTGTCTCTAACCCTTCTGCTGCTCGCAAGGAGGTAAGCCTTGGTTTGGTAGTGTCGGGCGAATACACCTCGTTTATCTCACCTGCAGTAGTGCTGATCCCGCCTATACACCTGCGCTGAAATCATAGTGCAAGCCGTTCACTTGTCCTTGTATGGAGGAAATCCGTTCAGTGGGAATCGTGGGTTGTCATGTACATGTATGTTGTGGCAGAATACTTTTTTTTATCCCTTTGATCCCTAGTTGAGACATATGGACTTTGATTCTTTACTTGAATGCAAGGAACGTGTTGTGTTGTTTCAATCTTTTGTGCCACCTAGTGAATCTTGTTTCTTCTCCTGCTCTCTTTTTCTTGTTTCCTTCTCATGTTCTCTTTGTCTTGGCTGCTTCTCAGTCAACGAGTAAACTGCCCGAGGTCAGTCAGGCCGCAGTAGTGCAAGCAGAGCAACGTGAGGAGAACAAGCGCATCGTGTGTCAGCCTGGTTCTTTGCCTTTACTTGTTGCAATGATGACAAGTACGGCATTGGCACATGACGTACAGGCACATCAGGTAGGGCTTGGTTTTGTGTGTCTTCTGTGTGTCTTCTGTGTGTCTGTATAGAGAGAGAGAGAGAGACTATAGACCATGTGCACGATGCCATGGTGATGTCTTCCGGACACCCTTGTGCTGCTGGATGAGGACACCCTTGTGCTGCTGGATGAGGACACCCTTGTACTGCTGGATGAGGACACCCTTGTACTGCTGGATGAAATGCATGCTTTACTGATTTAAAAACCAGTGCAAGCACCCACTCCATCCTAGGCTCTTACATAATTATGTGTTCATTGTGCACCCAGTCTATTGTCATTGTGCCACACCGACACAACACGCTCTAGTCAGCTATGTGTTGTGTTACTTGTGTGTATTGCCTCCTGTTATCTGCAGAATGCACTGGAAGTTTGTGGACGTATGCTGTATGGTCAGGTGTGCCATACCTTGTCCAATACTCCCACACACCTGTTGAATCAACAGTTGAACAGTGGTGCACCAAGCAAAGCTGGCAAGGATGATGCCAGTGCTGTCCCCTGGCCGTCATTTAAACAACGTGCTCTTGTACCCATAGCGCAGAGAATGCTAAAGCACCTTGTGCGGTAGGTTAATCTGCACATGTGCCAGGAACACTGTGTGTTGTAATGCGTTCATGTTGTGTGCTGTGCGGCCTATACCAGTCCTGTTGCCAGCATTACTCTCTGTGAAGTAGTGCTCATAAAATACCGAGCCATGCAAGCATTACCTGTATGCAGGCGATTAGAGCTGATAGTAGTGTGATGTACTAGCTTGCAGTGCACCCTCATTGTGGCTTGGGTGGTGGTGGTATTAGTGGTGATGGCGGCAGTGGCGGTGGTAGTGTGCATGACTCTTTTTGTTGTGGTGATGGTGGTCTTAACTGCTGTGCATATCCATGATGATCTTCACCTGTACTAGGCTGTAGTTGCATGTGTAGATATCCGAGACTGAGACTAAGACTGTGTCTTGTACATGTATGATGAGTATACTGTATACTAATCCCATGTGTTTATGTGTGCATTTGTTGTAGGCTATTGAACATTCAATGTCATGTTATTGATGGTAAGGAGTTGCCGCCACTCTTCTCCCGAGAAACATCTAAGGTCAGTGGTGTTATTTGCTTCTTCTTAGTAATCTAGCAGCCTGCTCTCCTGCTAGTGGAGCTCATACTAGCACTGTGAACACTGATATGCATTGTGTTGCTGTGCCCCCCCCCCCGCTCTCTCTCTCTCTCTCTCTCTTTCTCAGTTGATATGATGACTTGTAGTGCTTTCATCTGCTTATTGCTATGGTTTAAACTTGTGTATTTTACATTAGGCTCAAGAACAGGCTGGCACACAGCCTGAAAAAGTGGAATCGTCTCAAGGACCTGTGGGTTCAGTTAGCCCCAGCAAGAAGCCATCTTCAACCAGTGCACTGCAGGCACCTGGTGGCAAGATGACTCCAGATTCAGCCAAGCCCAGTTCCAAGCCGACCGGTAACTCTCCGAATACCAAGGAGCAAAGTGCAAAGGAGGCCGCAGCTGCCGAAACCAACCCCAAGTCCACTCTTGGTAGCTTCTATCACTTGACGCATTATCGAAAGCTGTTTGAAGTGTGCAGTGGTGCGTACCGGAACTTCAAGGTGAGCGCTTTTGTGTTTTCCTCGCGTGCACGGTACTGGCTCATGCATCTATTTTGAAATAAGGAAAACTGTCTAGGTATAGGACTCCCCAGATCTGGACACCTTGCGACAGAAGTGTGCCCAGACCAATATCTCTAGGGCTGAAATGATTGTATTTCCCACATTTATGATCACCTGGTTGATGAGAATCTTTGGAAGTATACACATGTACACATTATGCATGTTTTTGTGACATAAATTCA